AAAAAGTTTTTAAGCCTCATTTCCTCTTTCATTCATTTTTGTGTCTTTAGCGTCACTCAAATATTTAATAAAAAATATTCATGTATTGCATAATACTGAGTTTTCCTTGTAGATCAACCCAAATCTACTATATATTATAAATAATCAAAAGCATAGTTTTTAGATATTTAGTTTTAATAAATTTTAAATTGATTACTTCTTAAAATAACGACTAGATTAACACTAAAATACAAAGTTGGAATAATGTTAGTCCATGTCTCACAAGCAAGGACAAAGATAATAATTCAAAGTTGTGTTGTTCTCGAGTCTCATTCATGCTACTAAGAACAAAAACCTTATCTCACCCAATTCTTCTCTCCCTATCACTTAGAGGGAAAACTAAAACGTTGGTGGTTAGAACATTCCTCTACAACAATGCCAATCTCTTTTGTGCCCTAGCCTCATCATGGTCCCCCCCTTTTTCAGTTCTCTATCCTCCCCTTTTCACCCACCATTGGGTCTCATTCACACTATGGAGAATGAAAACCTTTTCTCACTCAAATCCTCTCTCTCTATCACCCAAAGGGGAAACTATTGTGTCACTCTCTTCCATGCCCGAGCCTCAAGATAGTCCCCCTTTTCAGTTCTCTCTCCTCCCCCTTTAACTTGCAATGATGGGCATTGATATTGGGTCCAACATAAGAAGCCCATTATCATCTCACACCATAAGTTTAAATGAATCCAAGAATAATTCTCAAGGATGTATGCATTGGACTATCATGTAAGCATATAAGTTAAGTCATGAAATAGATATTTCTCAAGAATAATATCCAGGTTTAAACAAGAATTGTTGAAATGCATTCTAAATCTATTTTATGTTTTCAATTCAATTTGATTACATTTGACTTTGGTTAATGTGGTATTTTCTCTCATTCCTCTTTGATTAGCATACAAAAAGTAAGCATTAACAATGACCATAAAATGTAGGTAACATCTAAAATATGCATTATTTAGTATTATGTCTACAAATAGGGTGTGAAAGAAAATCTACTCTAGCAAGTAGATTAAAAGAATCTCCAAGTTTTCTAGGAGGCTCCACTTCCCCATTACCTTTCATTTCTACCTACTAATTATTTGATCTAATTTTAAGAATTCTCTCAATTTTGTCACAGGTTCTACTAGGATGGAATTGAAGAATCTACTCTACGTGCACAATTTATATATATATATATATATATATATATATATATATATATAATTAAAATAAAAAATAAAAAACAAATAAAATTTAAAGAAAAAGAAGAAGATGGGAAAAAATGTTTATTCATAAGCAAGGCAAATAAAATTAGTCTTAGCACAGAAGAATTAAATCAAAGAGTTGAGAGTGTTTCATCAAATTACAATTCCTCTCTTGAAATTCTTCCTTATACCTTGTTTGACTTCACATGCTCTCACTTTATATATTTTTATTTTTTCTTGAAATAAAAGTAAATTCATTAAGTTCACTAACTACTGGTGAGAGAACAAAGTAAACATTCTTTTGACATTTGATCCTTAGGAATGGTTCCAAAATTTCAATGGATCTTAATCATTATTTTATGATAGCCATTAATTATTAATTCTTAAACCAAATTTCAAAGATGTTTTAAACAATAAATTTATTGGATTTTTCTCCACAAAGATGAAAGATAAAAATATATCTTAAATTTATTCTCAATACCTGTTGAAATTTCAAAAACTAAAAACTAAAAATAAGAAATAAAGGATTTATCTAATTACATAGTTCTCACAATTACATCCTCTTGTCTCCATTGACTTCTAAAATTTAATAGAAGTTCTTATTGATCTTTTGATTGCCTCTAGATCACCTCTAATTTGTGTTGATCCATGGGTTCCTAAAGAATAACATAGACAAACAAAATAAACAAAAGGAAATGAGACAAAGGTATGTTGACAAGTTGTCCTTAAGTCTTTTCTTAATTTTATCTTTTGAAGTCATAGCCGCATGAGTACTCTCATATTTGTTTTACTTTAGCCTCTCTTTTTCTTACACATAGCATGATATGAGCTCATTAAGAGACCATTTGTCTATTTAGTAATTATAGTTCACATCAAATTCACTAAATTATGTAGAAAGAAAAATCAAAATTAAGTGCACAAACAAATCTTCCAATAGCTCCAACTTTAATACCTTTCATTTTTTATACACCATGAAAATTTCTAGAATAAATTCCCTTATATTTTCATACTTTTGTAGCTTATAAAGATTAATTTTGCCAAGATTTTACTTGTTTCAACCTTATTATTCTTAGTAAATATTTTCTCAAATTTAGTAAGGAAAACTTTTACTACAATGGCCTCTTCAAACAAAGTGCCTCTGAAGACTCATAGAATGCCACACATCATGATCATGAGACTCATGTAATTTAGTTAATCTCATTTGTTTTTAGGTCTTACTCTTAAGAGAACCTATGAGACTACATTCCCTCAATACAAAGTCTATATCCATCCAATTAAGAATTACCATAACACTCTATTTGCAGATCTTAAAGTTGATGTCATTAAGCATAAGAATATAATTTATATTGATAAAAATATTATAAGTGAAATTTGAAACAATACAAAAAATAATAAAGCTCAAATAAGTAACTTAATTTTCAAAAAAGTGTACTTCCCATCACAAGATATTGAGTACAACATTAACACTTAGTCTTTGGATAGAAATATTAATCACAAGTGATATCTTAGTGTAATGAATAAATATTGACTAATTTTTTGGTCAAATAATAAATATTTTTTTAGATAGACATATTATTCACATAAAAATACTAAATAATTGTCACATATGTATTGTCACGTGTATGTAATTTATAAAATGCTGAACTTTCTTTTGGGCCAGCTCATATCCATATTAATCACATATACAACATCTTATACATTAGAAAAATTAATCTCCATAAGAGAGCCTACTTTGGTAGAATGCCACTTCAATTAGATTTAAAGTATGAAAATTATTTGACATTTAAACATAATTACTGGCATCCATAATAGATATATTTTTAATGAGATTGGCGTCAACATACCGATGCTGACATCATTGTCATGGCGTCATCACTCTAACTAATCGAATTTGCTCACACTGAACCAGCACATTGTCTTTCTTGATCGACATGATGCACCGCTCCTACTGCCTAGTGCACATCGAGCCGGTCACCCAAACTGGCACACACCAAGTAGATGCACCGTTTTGCTTGATCATGTGACCTAAGCAAACCAGAGGCTGAGCCGTCACATGACGGTTCCTCTTCCATTCGGTATACACTAAAATGGTGTGGCCATTTCACGCGACCATCAAGCACGTCATTCCATCTCCCACCTGACAACAACACTAGACTGCCAGCTCCCACTTGTCACACCAAAAACGGTGCAGCCCATTATCCTGCTAAATTGATGTAGGAAGAGAGGAGCTGGGCAAGTCACGTCATGCCTAGCCCAAACGGGATCGAGGAACCCAGGCATTTGCCACCTTAGAGTTTGAATGATCAGCCTAGAATGACCTTCCATTCGAAAATGGGGAAAGAGTCGAAAGCCCCGCCTGTTCACCCCACTTCCCTTCATTAATTTCTGGAACGACTGAGAAGGTCCTTCAGTAATACGAGGGGGAACTGAAATGGGAAAGGGGCATGTGGAAGCCACTGTGGCCCACCATCCTCTAGTGCTGTATTCTGGCATTGCTCCACCATGGCTCACCTCCTCTTTGCCTTTCGAAACCGCCATCCACTGCACTCTAGCTTCGGAGAAACGAGAGAGGGGAAGAGGTATGCGCCATTAGAGGGTTTGACGATCTTGGAGTCTATCCACATGGCTTGCATAGCTCAGTAATCCATCCTAGTTAAGCCCAGAATCTTATGGCTTGCCACACTGTTTGTATCATCTATGAGGTATTTGGATGCCTAAATCCACCTCAAGCTAAATATGAATTCATTCTCAAAATAAGGCATCAAAATGATACCAAGATCAACGGAAAAAATTATGAATAACATGTTATTCTCCAAAACTCAACACAACTAGGTGTTAATCCAAGTTGAGATAATGCTGAAATTAAAGACATAGTGTTGAGATAATGAAAAATGATAAAATCAAATCAAAATATATCAGAAATCATATCTGAATCCATAAAGGCTCAAAAATAGGATTGAATCAACACAAAGGAGTCATTCAAACATTTTCTCAAAAAGAGATAAGATGAAAAATTAAAATAGTACATAATCTTTACATATATTTATATTAATGCATATAATTAAAATTCTTATTATTTAAACTTTCATGAATCACTTTAAATAAAATTAACTCAATGATAACCCCATAATCTACCATTCATATATAATTATTTACATTGAAATTAATTTCAACAAAAAAAACTAGAGAGAAAGAGAGAGAGAGGTTTCTAAGAGAAGCAAGTTAAAGAATGACATCATTGTTATTTAAGAGATTGACTTGTCTACATCACTAGGGTCAAAGTTAAGCAAGTGGAGGCATTTGCCTATTAGCAATAAGTCTGACAGATGCTTGGTGTGAGATATAATCTATTCATTGTCAATCTTGGACTTTTGATCTTCGATTGTAGAACTTTGAAGGCACATGGATCAGATAGGAAGCATTTGCCCACGCCATATTAAAGTAAGTGATGTATGTTTGAGTGGCAGGCACGAGGAGCAGTATGAGAACTGCATGAGATTTCTCAACAATATACACAAACCATAGGAACCAGAGCAGTAAAGAATTATATCTCTCCCCTTTGGAACAAAAAGTTGCTAGAAGAAACCAACGTTTGAAAGTCATATCGTGCCAAGTTTTCCTCCAGTCCACGTAGTTGACAATCCTTGTTGGGCTACGCCCATTTCCATCATTTTCCAGCATTGGGCTTTGCCTATTAGGCCCATTAAAGACGGGAAACCGACAGATACCCTAGTTGGGGGATTTGCGGCGGAGGACGCGGCTTTATCCCCCGCTCCTCCCGCATGGCCACCGCCGCTGCCGCCGTTTCTCGCAGCGTGGTGCTCTGCCGCCCCAACATCCGGGAGCTTACCTCTCTGCGCCGATTCTCTTGTCGGATCCCCGATGTGTCTCCCCTTCTACGCCGCCGCCGCGCCGCCGCGTCTCTCCACACCCTGGAAGGCGGCGAGGCGGCGGCGGCACCCCCCCCTCCCGCCGCCGCCGCCGCTGCCCGCCGCCACAACGTGGTGGACATCCTCAAGGAGAGGGGCCTCCTGGATTCGGTCACCGGGGAGGACCTCCTCCGGTCGGCCTGCGCCGGCGGCGCGGTCGGCGTGTACTGCGGCTTCGACCCGACGGCGGAGAGCCTCCACCTGGGGAACCTCCTGGGCATCATCGTGCTCTCCTGGTTCCGGCGGTGTGGTCACCGGGTCTTCGCCCTCATCGGCGGCGCCACCGCCCGCGTGGGGGACCCCTCTGGGAAGAGCCTGGAGCGGCCGGAGCTGGACGCCGCCGCCGTCGAGAGGAACAGCGCCGCAATCCGAGAGATAATCTCCAGGATCCTCGGAGAGTCATCCTCCCCGTCCCCATCCTCCAGTGGGCCCTTCGCCATCGTCGATAACTACGACTGGTGGAAGGAGATGAAGCTGCTAGATTTCCTCCGGGAGGTGGGGAGGTTCGCCAGAGTGGGGACGATGGTGGCCAAGGAGAGCGTGAAGAAGCGGTTGACCTCCGAGGAGGGTATGAGCTACACGGAGTTCACCTACCAGCTGCTCCAGGGCTACGACTTCCTACACCTGTTCAGGAGCATGGGGGTTAACGTCCAGATCGGGGGGAGCGACCAGTGGGGGAACATCACCGCCGGCACGGAGCTGATCCGCAAGGTCCTGCAGGCCGAGGGGGCCCACGGGTTGACCTTCCCGCTCCTGCTGAAGAGCGATGGCACCAAGTTCGGGAAGAGCGAGAGCGGCGCCGTCTGGCTGGCCGCCGCCATGCTGCCCCCCTACCAGTTCTACCAGTACTTCTTCTCGGTGCCCGACGCCGACGTGGTGAGGTTCTTGAAGATGTTGACTTTCCTGTCCATGGCGGAGATCCGGGAGGTGGAGGAGGGGATGAAGCTGCCCAGCTACGATCCCAACTCCGCGCAGAGGAAGCTGGCGGAGGAGGTGACCCGCTTCGTCCACGGCGAGGAGGGCCTCGGGGAGGCGCGGAGGGCGACGGCGGCGCTGCGGCCGGGGGCGGCGGCGGAGCTGGATTCCGCCGTCATCGAGGCCATCGCCGAGGGGGTGCCCTCCTGCGAAATGAGCTACGATTTGGTGGTGGACTTCCCGCTGGTTGACCTCTCCGTGTCGTCGGGTCTGCTCACCAGCAAGTCAGCGGCCCGCAGGATGCTCCGGCAGGGGGGGCTCTATCTGAACAACCAGAGGGTTGACTCCGAGGACAAGGTCGTCCAGCCCGGCGACGTCGTTGACGGGAAGCTGCTGCTGCTCTCCGCCGGGAAGAAGAACAAGATAGTGATCAGAGTCCTCGCCTCCTAATCCTGCTCCCCCTCGCCTGTTTCTATTTCAGTTTCCTCTCTCCCCACGCTTCTTATCTTCCCCACCTACCAAAAATGGTGCCCTCCAGGTGTTCACGACGATTCAGGCCTACCCGCCATGGATCATCGTTCTCTATTCTTGGTCAATCCACCGGCCTCCTCTTCTGTCAGAGGATCTGATCTGGATGCATGTTACAGGAGATTCATCGTGTTCAAAGTCCGAGCCGCCTTCCCTCTGCTCTGCTCCTCCGTTCCTCCTTTCTTTCCCCGCCGTTGACTCGCCCGGCCACTCGACAGCCTCTCCATCCCCCCTGCCCCCTCCTGGTTTTTCCTCCTCGGTTTCTCCGTTTGTTTGACTTTTTCTTTTTAAGAGAAAATAAAGCACGGGTTAATCGATAATTCCACAAATTCACCGAGACTTTTGTGTTTTCTCATAAAGTATTATTTTAAAATATACGATTTTATAATATTGCAATATTTTAGGGAAGTCGACTTTTAGAGAAACAGAAAAGAAAACTCATTGTTGCACGTGGTTGGGCTGACGTGTGTCAGAGACTCATTGAAGAGTGGGCCAGGCGGCACGGCTGGGCCCGAATTAAGTCAGAACAGAAACACGCGGTCCACAGTGCCTAGAGCACGGCCGGAGCTTATTATAGCCGGTTTGAGAACGAGTTAGAACCGGAACGGGCCGAGTTGTCCGAGTCTTTCCAGACCAGTAAACCAGGATACAGGTCATCTAAGACTGATAAAGCTCGGATGGCCGAGCGACTCACGTGAGCCCCGATTAAGGATAAAGTCGGGTACAGTCTCTTGTCGTAGCCAACCAAATGGGTCGGATGGTCGAACCCAACCCAATAGCAGGTCTCGGAGGCTTAACTGGAGAAGGAGTTAACCCAGGGTTAAATTCTGACAGTGACAGACTGTTATTGAACTTAGAGTCTGACAGGGAACTGGATAGTTGTTCAAGGACACGTGTCGGCGGTTTATCCTGCATCGGAGAGTGCGTCTTCTGACTCTCTCATCACGTGCCGAATCCATCGAGGCTAATGAGCCCCCCCCGTGATTCGTCACCAGTTTATTTGGGCCTTTTAAAATAATATAGAAAAACCGGCTGATCACATGAGAGCGAGAACTCCAACACGTGCGAATAGGGCCTAGGGTGTCCTCCTCACCGACAGCTTAAAGAGATGAGTTTTACTCAGCTTACAAGTTTCTCTCACATGTGCGTTAGGCGAGGGAGGAGAGAGAGAGAGATTGTCCAAGCTTACCCCACTTGGACGGTGGACAAGTTCAGAGAGAGGGCGACTTCCGTCCCATCAGCTTTCGAGCTTTCCTCAACGTGCGAGCGGCGGGAGTACTAGAGATGAGAGAGAAAAGGGAACATAGAGAGAGAGAGAGAGAGAGGACGGAGCCAGGGGAACAGTTGAACGGAATGCGAATAAATTGTCTCATTGTGATGATGAGGGAAGTCATCACGTTGTACAATTAGCGATCATAAGACCGATTTTCTTTCTCCTAATTTTGATACCTCGATAATTATAAATATATATACACACATAAATAGGCGTGGAGTTATCGCGGGGAGCTGTCGACGGCTACAAAACGCCATAAATTTCGGTCAAATTTGGATCCCGACGACTCGCCACAAGTACTCGGCTGGTCCGAGTCAACGGCGGAGATCCTCCAGGGCGAGCCACCGCTGGGCCTCCTCTTCTTCCTCCTCCGCCTCCGCCGCCGCCGCCGCCTCCCCTCTGGCCGGAGACGGAAAGGAGGACGGACTGTTGAACTGATAAGGCCCCTTGGAGATGATCCTGAGGGGAGACAAAAAATCATAAAAAAACTAAGGTCCAAGAGAAGGAATACGCATGAAAAAATGAAATGGCGGAAGACCGACCGATCTTTCCTCTTCTCCAGGAAGCGGTGGAGCGAAACCCTCCTCGCAATGGGGAGATCTGCATCAAACCCACAAGTCAGCGGTCGACCCCACGGCGGCGTGTTAGATCTGTGGCCAAGTTTTTCCGGCATCTCTCTACCTGAGGAAGCCGGGAGCGGAGACTTCCGGGGGGGCTCCTGGTCAATGGAAGAGGTGGAGGTCATGTTGGCGACGGCGGCGGTGGTCAAGTGGTGATGTGGAGGAGGGGGAAGCCACCGGGGAACGGCCGGCGGGGGATGGAGGGCCTGTCGCCGGACAGCCAAGGCCATGAGTTCCCTCGCCTTGTCGGCGGGGAAGTTGTCGAAGACGACGACTTTTCCGCCGTAGAATATCGTCATCTGGTCGCCCCGGTTCTCCCTGCATCCATTATTGGCAAAGTCAGCGCCGCCCACCGCCGCCCTCCCTTCCTTCCCCCCCGTTGTTGCTCACCTGTCCGCCACCGGGGAAGGCGGCACCTTCAGACAGTCGGAAACTGCCCCCTTGTTGGCCGTCGGCGGCCTGTCTTCCGAGCCACCGCCTGAGGAGACCGTCACGCCGGGCAGCAGATTCATCGTCCTCCGAGTCTCATCCTTCGCTGGAACACAACAAGACGAATCGCTAGCCGGCGACTAGAGAGAGAGAGAGAGAGAGAAAAAAGAGAGAGGGGGAGAAAGAGGGAGAGAGAGAGAGAGAGAGAGAGAGAAAAAAGAGAGAGGGGGAGAGAGAGAGAGAGAGAGAGAGAGAGAGAGAAAGAGAGAGGGAGGAAGGGAGAGAGAGAGAGAGGTCACCACCTTCGTCCCGGCGGCCGGCGTTGGACATACTGAGGCCGACTTCCCCGAAGCCACCCTTCTCCTTGAGGTACTGGCTGAGCTTCCTGCAGGTGGTGGAGAAATTGGACGTCGCCCTCTCCCCGGGCCTCCGGCGGCTAGCCTCCATCTCTCTCTCTCTCTCTCTCTCTCTCTCTCCGTGATTTCCCGTGGAGTCTCCTTCCTCCTCCGACTGCAAGCTTACGACCCCGTTTTCTGGCCCCCCAAAGAGCTGTCCCTCTAGAACACAAATTTCCGGTCCACCCAATAATCTGTCATTAACACTTGTACCCCCCCCCTTCCCCAATTCCTTCTCCTTGATTCCCGCCGCGTCGCCGGCGTCAGTCCCGGCCCTCGTGTCGTCGAGGAGCTTTTTACTTTCCTGTGCCTCCCAGAGCACGTGCCCAACAACTCAATAAATTTTCATTTAAACCCTCGAAAAATTGTCATATAAGCCAGTCCTCTCAGTATACGGTATTTAGGACTGTACTTTGTCACGCGTGGAACACGCTGGGTGGGCGGAGGAATCTTTGGACTGACATCGACGGCGGGAAGGACGTTTTTTTACCAAGTCGGACAGAAGGCGAGCACCACCCGTGCGGGACCGGGAATATTTCACGCCCGATCCTAATCGAACGGATCTGGTTGGCCAAACGTACGTTGGGCTCTACTTCGTGCCATTTCCACACCTGATGCGCGTGACGGTGGAAAGTCCATCTGGCATTGACTGTTGACTGGCTGGGATGGGCTGGGCCGGACCCTTCCTTCCGGCCCGTTAGCAGCCCGGGAAAAGTATGGCCGGGGAGCAGGATTAGATATGCAGATCTGCAGGGACAATGTACCCTCCTTCTCCTCTCGCGGCTTCGGAAGGGGACACGCGGAGGCGAAGTGGTGGAGAATCGAGTGATGATCAGTTCGGTGGTCGTCCCTTCCGCTGAGATCTGGGGGGAGATTTCTTTTGGGCATTTCCTCGAACAGGTGGGGAGCAACTGGACAATCCGCCGAAGGCACAATGATGAGGTCCGCGGTGGCGCGTCGCATTCCTTTCGGGGGCCTCCTCCGCCGCCGGATTCTCCCTCTATTAAGCTTCTCCACCGATGCTTCTCCCACAGCCACTTCTACTCCGAGCTCCTCTTCATTCCAGGCTCCGCCGCAGCCTGCGGCGGGGAAGTATCCGGGACGGGAGCATCTGGGGACGGCGACGCTGTCGCCAGAGCCACCGCCACAGGGTGCGTCGGGAAATGAAGAGGCAACGGGGGAAGGGGAGGAGGTGCGGCAGAAGAAGACCGCCAGGGAGAGAGGAGGGGAAGGAGACTACGAGGAGGAGCAATCACGCGTCCTGAGGGCGGCTCTCGGGCATGTTGTAAGTGTTCTAATGATCTACTTCTCCTTTTCGGGGATCTGAGCGTTTCCCGCCGAGCGACTTGGTCTGATTTTAATGTGTTAATTTTCTGGCAGGTGAAATTGGGATGGAGCGATTCCGCGTTGATAGCGGGGGCGAGGGACGTTGGCCTCTCTCCGTCTATTATCGGCTCTTTCCCCAGGAAGGAAGCTTCTCTTGTCGAGGTAGCCATTATAGTGCTCTCAGAAAGAACGCCAACTTCAAGTTGGATTCCTCACACGACAATGCAATGATTTGAAACCAAAAATCGGAGATCAATTCATCACCTGATACCCTTTTCTCTTCGGTTCCGGTTGCCGAGATGCCATTACAACCTAAAAATTACGTCGAATTAAATATACTTCTATGCTCTGATCTTGTAGTGCAAATTAATTTTTTGGCATACTACGATATCAAATTCTTATTTTAAAATGCTCTGATGTTATGTCATGCATACAGATTGGTGTAAGATTGATCCATGTGTGAGTTATTTGACTTCTTAAACATGTGTGGAAATATCTGAGCTGGGTGTGTATAATTTCGGAGCCTTTATTTAAAAATTATGAATGGTCAGAAATACAGATCTCAAGCCTTCGTATTCATTGAGCCTGTTAAGTCCACAGCTCTTGATTCTTTCAGCTCCCACCTGCTGATATGCTCTGGTTCAAGACATGAAACTTTGGATTTCAGATAATCTTCTGACATATGTTATACTGAGATGGAAAAAATTAGTTTTAAAATAGCACAAGAGTTTTCCATCACATCATTGATCAATCGAAGGGACGATCTAATTCATTCTACTTTTTCAAATTTTATAATTTTCGCGTCAGTAAATTTCGGGTTGTTTTGGGTGATTTCGTATTTATGCTCCTTCCACCTTCAAATGTTATTGCTTTTACTTGTCATGATCGAACTATATAAAACCCCGTCATTTGTAATTTTTATTCCTGCACTTAGTTTCATAACTAAAAAGGAACAGAAAGCATATCCAAATGCCGCATTGGATACAACAATGTTCATATGTACCAATCTTTTGACGATGAGAGCTATTTTCTTGTCGCCCATCTACGAACCACTTTGAACACAGAGAATAAAATATTTGAGAGAGAGAGAATGTGTGCAAGGAGCAACATTATCCATTCATCTTCATGATTGTTCCCAAAAATGTTTGCTGAGGGGCCATACTCGCTCAAAAAGTAAAAACGCCTTGTCAGACGGTCACAATGAATCTATCAATGGAAAACTTCACAGGGTGCATATTTATATTATTTTTCTGTGTGAAAAATTTACTTAAAGCTCGCCGTTCATCCGTTTCTTCTATAAGGGGATCTAATACATGGTGCCTTCATTATTTCTCTTCAGTTCTTCATGGATGACTGCCTTGAGAAGCTGGTCGACAAGAGTGAATCTGGGGAGCTGAACCTGAACACCCTGATACTCAGTGAACGCCTCTCAAAGCTCGTTCGTTTTCGCTTAGAAATGCAGGCCCCATACATATTGAAGTGGGCTCAAGCCCTAAGCATTCAGGTCAGCCCTTTTTTCCTTTTATGGGAACCCTAAGAGCTTCCAATGTTTATGGGTCTAACCCACTTAAAAATCATCAGCAGGCCGTATGATTCTCTTAGTCTCCTTTTCTTTATATGAGATTCCTAAAAGCTTCTAATATCCAAGCAGCTAACCCACTCAGAAGCCATCCGCAAGCCAGATATGATTCGTTTCGTCTTGTCTTAATTTAGAAACCCTGAAACCTTCTAATATTTAAGCATCTGAACCGCTTATTAGATCATCAGCAACCAATGCAACTCTCTCGATCTCTTCATATATATACATAAATAACATTATATATATAATATAGTTTGGGGTTGTGTGGGATTCGAATATCTAAGCCAAACTATGATCTTGGTCTCTGTTTTGACTCTGCATTAACAGGGGCAGCCACAGAATGTGCCCACAAGCTTCAAGCAGCGGGCTATGCTCATCGACGAGATCTGGCATGCTGCGGGAGATCATGCATCCGATATTGACTGGTACATCAAACGGGCGGTTCTTGGAGGGATTTACTCAGCTTCGGAGATCTTCATGCTGACCGACGACTCCCCGGGTTTCTCCTTCCTCTGATTCTTCAGCACGTCATGTTAACTTTTGGATTACATTTTTGTAGCCCAGAATTTTTAATCGTCTACGGGTTTTTGGCTGCAGGGTTTCACGACACTTGGCTGTTCTTGGACCATCGGATCAAGGATGCTTTCGATGTCCAGAAGGCTGTCAAAGAGGTGCCTCTTCCTCCAACATTTCCCATTTATCTTACCTATTTCCCACCCCCATCATATCATCTAATGCAAGAACCATGCCTCCAGGCCGCGTACCTCGCCGAAGCGGTTGGAGCAGGCATGGGGAATTCAGTCCAAGCCCTCCTGAGGAGGGTCTCTCAAGGATTCAAGATGTGAGCACTCATACTACTAGCACAGTAAACTTTGCTGAGAGATATTACTATTTTCTTCCGAAAAGTAGAAATCTCTCCTCCTGTCTGTGAATGAATCACTGTGTGTGCCAACTTACAGCAAACTCTGTTCTGGGTCATGCCCAAGGAATCAAGACGACTTTAGATATTACTATTTCTTTTTTCCATTATGAGACCAATAAATCGTTGACTTTTTGATAGTGTTCACTGACCAAAGGTTCTGATGATCCTTGTGTGTCATATGTAGTTGATTATCTCCACCTAATATATCACCATGTATGGGGTTAATGGTCATGAGAAAGGGTGTCGACTGGGTTGAAGCCTGTCAGAAAGAGTACCGCATCAACAGGATTTGAATGAAAAATTGAAGATGATGGATGAACTTCACTTCGTCACATCTGATTACCGCAAAATCACTCTGATCATTGTCTTCGGCATGAAATAAATATGAACCCAAAAAGAAAAAAAAGGAAGAAGAAGAAGAAGGAGATGAGAGAGATCGGGTGTGTTCTTTATCAGTCCATGTCAAGAAACTCCATCCTCTTCCTCATTGTTCCCTTGAGGTCCGAAGCATCCCTCTCAGCCTTCTGTGCCTGAAGGAGCCCACATACTCACTCACTCAGTACGAGCAAAAAGTGCCCATAATATTTCCTTTTCCAGTAAAAACAACTCACCATTCTGATCTCAGGGGCCGAAACCCGCGCCATGTGGCCAGGGAGCTCCTCTCTCTCTACATCCTGCCCAGTCAAAACGAAAAAAAACCCATTTTGAGACATAAATAAGTTTGGGTCCTTGGGATTGATCCAGCAATGAGAAGTGAAAGCTGTGATTGATCCACATCCATTTTGGGTACCAATTCTCCGATGAGGACGACGTTCTCCCCCCGGATCACATACAGACCCAGCGGGATGTCACAGAAGAGCTCCCCGACGATGATCCGCTCACACGCCCCCTCGAGGACGACGTTTGCTGGAGAGAGAAAGTCAAAGAGTTCTTGAGTCAGGAGGAATACACCGAGTTGGTCAACTTAAAGATGAGACGGAGACCGGGAGGGCCCACCGAATTGGTCAAAGGAGCGGAAGATGCCCAAGAGCTTCCTCCCATCCCGCAGCAAGATGAGGAGCTTCTCTGCGCCATGAATCAGCGAGTTAGGAGCCTAGAAGAAAGCCTCCAAGATAGCAAAGTTTTTGCATTAAATGAGTGAAATGATGATGGTGACTTTGGTCCTGCTCACATGATTTACCAAGATCCTAAAATAATGTTCAAGATTTCTGAAGAATTCCACGTGATAATTCTGAAATAACTGGATTTATTGTAAAAAATAAAAGGAAAACCCAGATATCACACAGAAATATCCAATAAATATTATCAACAATAAATTCCTTTCAAACAAAAAAAATATATATCCCGAAGAACCAAGCGACCTGTCTATAATAGAAGGATTGAGACCATCATAGCCTGATTTCATTCAACTCTTGTAACTGGGGGAGATCGAAGAATTGATTTCCGAGCAAAAACTTTGGTCTTGAAAGAATAATATACCGAGATAACATAGTATCTCCCTACCCTTTTTAGCATATTTTGATGGTAGCATCTTCCAGATTGAATCAACAGTTGGGCATCTGTGATTCTTCATAAAGATTTCAATCTCTCTGACCTAATAGTCTGCCGATAAAATGAGGAAAACCAATAGTAGATGATATCCAGGAAGAACAATCCTCCTCAATATCCTCCAAAACAAGCTAAATCCACCCCACATATCTCACGGGAGACCCCTAGGTTCTTACTTATATACACATTCTAATTAGGGCCTTGATATGATACGGTTGCTTGGAGAAAATCAAAGGAAACCTGTTATTTACTTCACCGAAATTCGGTAGAATTTGAGCAGCCACGCACTACGAGCATCCCCCAGAGTAAAACTAATAAAACGAGCCGATTCCCAGGATTATCTTCATCTTGGAGCCTCGTAGATGAATGCATCATTGCTGCTTCTTCCTCTTCTTCATTAATGGAAGCTGTGGAGATACCACAGTATATGGAAACATTCAAGTAGGCAGGAAATGTGGAACTGCGGAAGCCTGTGATCCTCGAATGCAGAAAAACATGAAGCTAGAGAGAGAGAGAGAGAGAGAGAGAGAGAGAGGATTACTGTCGAGATAGCTTGCGAGAGATGTGGAGAAGGAGACGTCCTCTGGCCCCCCCCAAGACATCGGACGCTAAAAACTAAAATCTTTTGTTTTCCTTCCCTCGGGCAAGCACCAGAAGAAAGCACCCAGAATCGTGTCCGCCAGAGGAATCGGGATCTCCTCTGAAGTCAAAACCCTAAACTCCGGAAGGAAGAGCGACCCGGAAGAGTCCACCTTCACGGGTTCTCCGGGATAAATAGATCACAACAAGGACATTCGACAGCTGAGAGCCTATCGGTTGGCCCTTCTCCTGCCGGCCTCTGTTCCCCAAACCCTACCTTCCGCTTCGTCTCCTGCAGCTAGACGTGGGCGGCGGAGAGAGGGAGTGAGAAACTGTCATGCTCAGGCAAGAGAAGGTGCAGGTGGATCGAAACTGGGAAGTTTAGATTTGTAAGTTACAATCTGCCCACCACGTCAGCGGATTCATAGACTGAGATCTCGACCTCGGCAGCACCAAATTCTGTGGTACTGACCAAAGTCACTTCTTTCAGTATGAACAAATTATTCAAAAATTTTACTCCGGGTAGGAAAAAAACACGGTGAATCGAACCCGGTGAATTCAACATAAAATTTATGATTTCATATAATATTTAATCGTATATGTCAAGTCTGACCAGACGCTAATTTTTGAAAAAAACTTGATGAAAATTAATACTCTCTCTCTCTCTCTCTCTCTCTCTCTCTCTCTTTCAGTTTCGATTATGATTGAGATTGGAAAAGTCAAAAGTGTAATTATCTCACCACAAAAACTATCCTCTAAAGAATGATTTTTTTTCCAGCACGTAAGAAATTGTTGGATGATCTAAGCCTACGGCAACAGGGATCATTCTTCAAATGCATATTGAGCGGATTTCCGCAATAATTTCGTAAATGCACCGCTACTCAACATCACCTTTATCTTGCATCATAAAAAAAAAGGTCAACTCTTCAGGGGAATCCAACTAACTGGCTCCCAGGCCACGCCTCTATAGAACAGCGTCCGTGGAATTAAAGAAAGAAAGAAAAAAAAGAGTTTTATTGGTCAAATTTTTTTGGCGGGGTCCACTTTGACTATCCTCCCCCCCACCCCCCCTCTTCTTTTTCTCTCTCTTCAGGTAGACCCCTTGTTCTCGAATTAGCTGTGGAAGGTCGGCCTGTGGAAGGCCCTAGCTTAATGTGGGGCCCCACTTGTAGCCGTTTTTTCTAGGGTTTTCGCTAGACCCCTAGGGTTTGTTCAGGATGCCGATTAAGGCTCTAGGTTTGACCATGCCCACGCTAGGGCCTACTTATCATACCGCTAGATGTGGGACTAAATGTGTAGATATATACACATACATATGTAGTTGTGTCTATATATACATGTAAATAACTTTGTATTAGGTAAATTTACGTGCATCATTTCTTTAGACCCATCTCTCTCTCTCTCTCTCTCTCTCTCTCTCTCTCTCTCTCGCTCTCGCTTTCTATATCTTTAGGTTCGGGCCGGGCTCATTTCTCATTTGGGCCTATTTTGAGGCCCGGGCCCAGAAAACCATAGGCCCATACTACGTGGTTAATAAATCCGGAAATTAGCATATTTCCACCGGGTTCTTTAAAGACAATAAATAATACAACGAATCAATCAGTCTCCAGCAGCCGCTGCTCCCTCAACGTCCACATCATCCTTCTTTCTCTTGATCCCCCCCGCCCTCATCCCCTTCTTCTTTGATGTCTCCAAATCTCCCTCCTTCAATCTCTTTAAGGCTGCAGATGTATAGAGCGATAGAGTCAGTGTCAAGGGTTGGGAAGAGAGAGAGAGAGTTTGACCATCTGAATCAATTAAATAACCCGAAGCTCGAGGTGTGAGGTTCAGAACTGACCAGATTCATAGACAGGGCGTAGCTGGTCCACTGAGTCAGCAGGCAGAGTGTGAGCTGTGCAAGAGCCCTCACCGGCCTTCTGCAACATCTCCTTGAAACGCTTCATCTGAGGAGAAAGGTTATACAGAAATCAAAAACTCGGCATATCCATACATCTTTCGATCATTTTCTCTAACCCATCGAGCAACAGATGGTTAGGGCATTTATTTTCGGCTATATTTCTCCAAGCTACAGAAAAATGAAGATTTCATTCAGGGGGAGTGGCCCAAGAAAAAAAAAATCCAAAAATAGAAGCAAAATGTTGGTTTTTTCGGGAAAACGACAGCGGATTCATGCCCAAAATATCAGAAAATATAAGGATGGTATGAGATTTTATGGGTGGGTCGAGTCCTGGAGCATGGCATAAGATAATATCAGTAAAGCGACAGTGAGTTGAGATTAAATCATTAAAAAAGTGAAAGAAAATACAAGCATGGGCTAATATTATTATAATTAGTACTGTGACAGTGGGTCTAGTCTCAATTATTCAAAAAATACTAGAAAGCACAAGCATTAGATACGAGATTATCAGAAAAGAGACAGTGAGGTCTGAGTCTATAACTTCAAAAAATAGAAAAAAATACAAGCATAGAGGGAAGAAGGCTTCCTCAGTAAAGTGGCATTGGGTTGACTCCATCTTCACTAAAAATACAAGCCTAGAGCAATATTTATCACTAGAATGACCGTGGGTTGAAGTCCAAGATATTTATCATAATGTTGTTTTCATCGGAAAAGTGATAGTGGGCTCAAGCCCAAGATAGCAAAGAATACAAGCAAAACAAGCAGTAGATTTTCTCAGGAGAACAAGATGAAGTTCAAAGAGTGAACAACTACCTCGCCTTTCCTCAATATGGTAAAGCACCGCCCCGACTGGCCTGCTCTAGCAGTGCGTCCTGCTCTGTGGATATATGTCTTGACATATGGAGCCATATCATAGTTTATGACGTTTCTCACGCCCTCAACATCCATCCCGCGAGCAATGGCGTCTGATGAAATGAGGACATCGATTTCTCCCTTCCTGAATGAGTCCAACGTTTTGCTGCAGTACAGTTTTTTTTTTTTTTTTTTTTTTTTGTTAAACATCAGAATGACAAAGTTTCCAAATAGTAAGAGATATACAAAAGAGGCTCAAGCAACGTTCCACATAAAGTAAAGAGTAATTAACTATGTAACCATGTCATGGTTTCAGATATCTTCATCCGAAAATTAGCGATAATACAATTATTTTCTAGCGTCTCTTCATTGATAGAGAATCTCGCATGATCACAAGTGAGTGTGAGAACTACCTTCTTGTGGATTGATGTTGCTGACCCCAGAACTGACTGATTTTAAATGGCAGTTCTCCAAAGAATTTCAGCAAGGTGGTGAGTCTGCGCGTTCTTTTCATGGATGACGTAAATACTATGCACTTCTCTCCTCTTAAACCTTGCAGAAGTGCAACCAAATACAGAGGCTTCATCTTCGACTCACAAATCTGCCCAAAATAATAGGCGTCAATGACAATAATTTGACACATGTAAAGCTCAAAGAGACAACCATAAGACATAAAATGGCATTAAGCAAAGCTTCACAAATAAATCAAACTAATTCACTCTTCAAGGAGCATTTTGGGCTACAAGGAACTACCAGTGTGCATGACTCGAGCCTCTCAGGGATCTTGTAACGTTTTGGGCCAGTTGTCAAGAACAGAGGGTGATGAAGGGCCAGTTGAGACAGCTTGCTAGGATCCTGAGTAAGGGTAGCGGAAAGAACAAGCTTGACAAGTCTTGGACTCATTTTACCTTTAAATCCTCTTTCAACACCACTGTAAAAGAGAGATGTGACAATAACAAAACCATTACATAGTTGACGAAAGAAGCACACCATAAGCAATTAATTAGATTTATGAAGAGGAAAAATATGCCAATTTATTTTCTTCAAGCTGGTTCATACTTTCCAACAACGGAAATTCCAAAAGGGGCAAACAAGGAGTAAACCCACTAACACAGCTTTGGGTGGTCCAGTAAAAATCCATGAGTTATTCTTCACAAATAAAAAATCAAATGGCTAAGCAAAATGGGGGGGAAACCCAGTTCGATAACAAGGAACGGTACTGCTTTTATGAACCATTGAAATTAACCATATCTTTAAGGGCAAATGCAAGTAACTAATTATTTTTCAAATAAAAAAACGTGAGGGATAGTGACAGAATTTTTGTTTTTCAACTAACAGATTTCTCCAGAAAAATTGATTGAAGCCGAGTTTAAGTTTGAAAAGATAAACCTCCAGATCGATGTGGCATGAGGGCCAACTCGTGATCTGCTGAAGATTCCAAAGCACTAGGCTACAATACTTGTAAAGAGATTGCTGAAATGGTCAGTACGTACCATCTTCTTAAGGTTCTCAACTGACCAATTGTAGAGAAGTAATAACTGCTCGTATGGCTGGAAACTTCTTGTTGATCTGGGCATGACAAACGAAGCACTGTAGGCAACCACGATTGGTACTCCTCTCTGAGGAATCGATCAGTTTCATCAACAACCTGAAAATGACGGCACAGTAGATTTTTTATTAGAAGTGCTATTGAGAGATTAAATCACGACTTTCAAGAGTCTTAGCACAAGTAATATCCCCAAATAAAACTTTATAATTTGAAGCAAACCACAAGTAATGGAAGTGTCAGAGATATCCATTGGTTCGTAACTAAGTGCATTGGGGCCAAGGGATGCAGGAGATAGATAACACAGCACTCTTCACTAATGTAGTAGAGAAAATACAGACAATGGAGAGTCTTTGTTCTACTCAAGATTCTTTCCACACAAAAAAAAAAAAAAAAAAAAAAAAAACTGAAACTTCATAGTGGAGATTGTGACTTTTTGGAAATGGCTATCCAGATGCTTGCAGCAGATACAGCGAACCAATAAACGATTTCATCTGGTTGTTGTCCTGGTGGATCAATTTATGATTCATTAGTGTTAGAGAACCTGGGTCAAGAATCCTCTTAACAGCTTTCTTTTCAGTTATCTATTTGGATGAAAAGGAGAAATTTTAGATAGAATTTTTGGATCCCATAAGCAAGACCAGAAGCATTTTCGAGTACTCATCAGTTTCAGTATGAATGGGAAACTCGACTGGAGTCAATTCTGAGGAAAATATTTCCTATGATTTCCTTTAGTTTCTTGCATGGCGGGCAATCATGGTGTTTTATATGCTGAAATTCCTTCATAAAAGATGAGCTCTTCATCAAAATTTCCTTTATGTGGATCAGATAAATAGGCTACTGCGATGCTTTTATGAAAGCAGGTTTGAGAAAGCAAGAATAACCAATGTATTGCTTACCAGATAGCACAGGTGTCTTAGACTAAAGCCCTTGGTGGTTTTTATATGGTCCATCAGCCTGCCTGGTGTTGCCACCAGTATGTCCACAGAACTTTGCAGTTCTGTCTGGAAACCCTCAGGATCAAAGGACATTCCGACTCCAAGCTTCGGCTTCTTTATCAAAGTTGAAATCTCCTCTTCAATAGAAGATTGTCCAACAGCCAATCCAACATGCAAACCCACAGCAGGAGCAATAGCGTCAAAAACCTTTTTTACCTGAAATAGAAGATAATTAAGACAGTATCAGAGACCTACTGAACACGGATCTCTAAAAATTGCATGGCAAATATACAGAAAAAACGACAATATAATACCATATCAAGGTAAAAGCAAGAGTTCAGTGTAAACCTGGAGAGCTAGATCACGAGTAGGCAGTACAACCAAAGCGCGTAGGCAGCTAATCTTCCTGGTGGAAAGCTGTTGAACAATGGGCAATGCATACGCTAGAGTCTTTCCACTTCCTGTTGGTGAGTTTATGCAAAGGTCTCTCTCAAAAGAGCCAGGACCGATAGTCTCCAGCCACACAGCTACTTGCACTGGAAAAAGTGAGCTGATAGTCATTTTCTCCAAAGCCGCCTGCAATCTTGAGAAGCCCAACCAAAGTTAAGATCTATACTAGAGTTCCGTCATGTGCAAATGAATCAATCAGCTGCACAACTATCGCTTGCTCTAGTATGTATATAAGTTTATTCATATATATGCATATATTTATGGGGAGCCCAGATAAAATTCCTCAATTTAAGCCTGTGCATTGCGGTCAGTAGTTCAGAAACACGGTTTAGTGGTAAAAAGGTTAAACGACCACTGCGTATGAAATATGAATAGGTCATCATAAAGTATAAATCTGAATACTAAAAGAGAAAGTTTCACGTAAGCGGAAGGTTAAGAGCCTAAAGGGTCCCGAGTAAAATGCCTTCGGAGGCTGAAAAGAAAACATTTTTATTTATTTTTTTGGATTTTACAAGGGGCACCATTTCTTATCTGCGCATATTCATGAGTTTAGTATAATACTATGAGTATAATCTCTCGGCAAAAAAAAATCTGCCGTTCAGAATTCTAGTGAAAAACTTCTCTGAGTATGACCTCTAGGGAAGGCAACGTGAGAAATAGTTGCTTCAAAACAAGAGAAAACCCGTTCATCCCGGCTCGAGACAAGGAAATGGCAAGAACCAATTTACCTCTGATCGAGGCACGGAACGAGACCGAGTGGACAATCCTCGAACTGCTGTATGTCCACCGGTCGTCTCATCCATGGAAGAATTGGCAAGTTCCTCTTCTTGGGTTCCTCCATTGTAAAGGATATGAAGGAAAAGCCCAGAGAACAGGAAGAAACAGGAAAAGAGGGCGGCAAAACAGAGGGAGAGAAACAGGGGAGAGACTGAGAGTTTTTCCAAAGAGTCAGGCGCGAAGGATGTGCCGGGATTATTGCGGTAAGACAGAAATGAGCGTGGGACGCAGAAGGGAGAGCTGCAAACTGAGAGAACCGTTGACCGAGAGCTTTTTAGGGAAGATAAGGAGATGAACAGGCCAGCCGCCGCCGCCGCCGCCGCCGTGAGCAGCGTCGGACGGGAAGAGAACTGCGGAAGGTCAAAAGCACTGAAGGTATTGGGAAGGTGGGCTATGAACTATGAATACAACCAAGACTAGGGATTTCGGACTCCATCGCCAGGGGCAAGAGAGGGCCCATCGACGGCGCCGCCGGAGTGACAAGCGAGCGCGCCGCCTGCAATTTGCCCCGCCACCGGGAAGAAAGCAACCGAAAGAGAATGTAGGAAGAAAAAATGAAGTATTTGTAGCGTTCAACGGCCTAGTCATTAATGGGCCACTGTCGGCCCAATTATTACCTAGGCCCATGTGGAAGTCCAGAAGCCCAAAATCTGCCGCTCCGTCTGAGGTCCAGACCGGGCCCTCGCACTGGGCCGGCTAGATAGATAAATATCTTTAAGAAAAGGTTTTAGAGCATATTTCTTTAATTTAAAAGATAGATAGATAGATAAATAATGCTTTAATAATTTTTAAATGATGATAATTTTATTTTCAAGGGTATTATCGCGAAAAACAAATCTCTCCGGTTAGCCGGCGATGGCGAGTTCATCTGGTCTCCGTCGCGGGAAGCTTGGAGGAGGAATCTGCAGGTTTTGGCTTGGAGGGAGCGGGGAAGAAGTACATGCCGTCGCCGGCGGCCTTCGTCGACGGTTAGCTCTGCGGCGCCGGAAGGAATAACTCGGACGACAGAGGGCGTCATAGAGGAAGCCATGGCAAAGTTCCAAGCCGATAGATCGGTCCAGAGATCAGCCGCAGGTGGAGCTTGACGCCTTTGTGACCTGCAGAGAGAGCGGCCGAGAGGGCGGGAGGCGGCTGTGGCTGAAATGATCGGCGACTGAAAGTCCTGTTTCCGGTGCAGAGCGCAGAATGCGCGATTTGCTTCACAGAGGAGACGGGAATAGGGCTCTGAAAGGGAGGTAATTCGCAGGGATAGCGCAGTTCTAAAGAAGAAGGAAGAGGGAGAAGAGGAAGACATTCGTAGGGGATGGGAGAGGAAGAAGACGACCCGCGACATGGCAGAGAAACACGTGGCATGCACGTGAGGACGGTAGGGAGGGAAAAAGTCGGCATCTTTATCCTTTGCGGGGTGGTGGGCATCAGGATTATCGAACCCAGAGGAGGGCAAGTGTCGCGTAGTTTTCTCTGTGGGAAGGCCAGCAGCGACAAGCCAGAGGCTTCTTGGGTGCTGCGGCGTGGTTGATTTCCTAAACATGGCGCACCAGCCCAGTGCTTCGGCTTCTCTTCAGGCCATTCGTTACTCCCCCGGCTCTCTCTGGCTACTCGACCAGGTAGGTAGTCGCCCTCCTCGTCCACCCCTCGAAGAGAGGGGAGGGGGGGGGGGTGGTGGGCGGGAGTAATCGCCTCTGTGGGTGATCTTTCTGTATTTATCTAGCCTTGGTTCTTGCTGAGGAGCAGCAGCAGTCTCTCCCCATTTTCTCACGGGCCCGAGTTGCTCTGCTAACAGAGAAAGCTTCCGCTCGAGACTGTGTACCTGGAGATTCGTACTGCCGCCGATGGATGGTAATACAATCTCTGTTGCTCCCCAGTTCATGCTGCTCCAAACAGCGAGTGCGCCATTGATCACGAACCAACCCTCTATTGCTCAATAAAATCTGTTTGATTGGGAATCTCTGGGATCCTTCTCCTCCAGTCTATTGTGCCGACCTCTCTTTCTCGCACATCTCAGGAGCGCAATCAGAGAAATGGTGGTCCGCGGTGCTCCTGCCATTGCGATCTCAGCGGCTCTCTCGCTGGCCGCGGAAGCAAGCAACCTGGAATTCAGCGGCACAACTGCGGATTCAGCTTCGTTTCTCGTCGAGAAATTGGAGTACCTGGTGTCAAGGTCGTTTACTGCTTGAACTATAACTCTCAGATCAAAGGTGCAACGTGCTTTTTAAATTTTACTGATAATTCCTGGGGGTTGGATGTCCATATGAGCCTACAATTCGGAATAAACGACGTAATCTTCAGATATTATTCCACTTTCAGACAGTCAGCGTCGAGCTGGCAATTTCCAGCTCCTAGAGATGGATCAGAATATTGACCTCGAGAGATCATTCTAATGTTCTTGGCTTGGCAGTCGGCCTACTGCTGTGAACCTTTCAGAGGCTGCAACAAAGCTCCAGAATCTTGTGAGGAAGGTTGCTGCAACAGCGTCAGATCCTAGAACTGTTCTACAGGTACAGATTCTTGGCGATCCATCATGTCTCTGCCATTCCAGGATTAGCATCTGCCCAGCACAAAACTTTGGAAAATAGCCTTTCGATCCTTGCCCCGGGTTGACTTGAATATTTTTCTGGGTCTGATATCAGAGCTGACTTCTCATTCAAGCGGGAGAAGGGTCAAACTATGACTTGACTGGCTTTGACCCAGCTCTCTAGCTCCTCCTACTTCTGCCCACGTTTGATCCAGAACCTCCATGATTCTGTCGCCTAGTTTAATTTCTTTACAGGCTTATATAGATGCAGCCGAGGTCATGCTCATCGATGATGTAGCTGCGAACAAAAAAATTGGATCTAATGGGGCCGCATTCATCAGACAAAGCCTGAAGAAGGAGATGCTATCGATTCTAACTCACTGCAATACTGGCAGGTTTGATCTTTTTTCCTTTATTATTTTTATTTTTTATGATTTTTCTTATACTTGTCACCCACTTTGGTGATAATCAAGAATCATAGCCCTGATGTTTGGGAGACATTTTGCATCATCTCCAGTCTTGCCACTGCTGGATATGGAACAGCTCTTGGGGTTATCCGGGCGCTCCATGCGGAAGGGGTTCTAGAGAGAGCTTACTGTACAGAGACACGCCCATTTAACCAGGCAAGCAAGCCCGTCAGAGATCTAACAGCTCTTTCATTGGCCAAGCTGCTGCTTATTTTTTGTAACCTTTTACTTGAGGCATTTAACTGTTAGTATCCTTTATCTCTGTCCATGGTGGATCGAGAGAGAAACGAAGCAAGCGCATTCGCTGGTGCATTCAAGAAGGCACCAATATTTACCTTTCTTCTCTCCTATCTAATAATTAATTGCATAATCTTTCAGGTCATCGTTCTGCGGTGAATATTTATCCACTTCATATTTATTTACTTATTTATATTTTAAGTGTGCATCAACAGGTTCAAGAAGAGAAATTTGTTGGACCTACTTTCTCTCTCTCTATCTAATTACCTATCACATAATCTTTCAATCGATCAATTTTAAGTGCATTTTTACACAGTTATCATTTCGTTGTTCATTAATGCATTCAAGAGGACACCATGAATTTTAACGCTATTTTCTCCATTTAAAGTAAATTGTCATTTAGCCAGTCCTTTTAAGTGAACATTTATTTTCTCATTTATCATTTAATTAATCCTTGATGCATTCAAAAGGACACTATGATTTAGCTTTCATTTCCCCATTCTAATAAGTTATTTTTATTTATTTATCATCTGATTGTTCATCAATGCATTCAAGTAGGCAGCATGATTTACCTCTCTCTTTTCCCCATTCTGATAAATTATGACATAAATTTTCAGCTGACACTTTTAAGTGAATCTTAATATATTTAATATTTATTCGCATTCAATCACTTACTTTAAGGGTTTTGATTTTCAGGGATCCAGGCTCACTGCATACGAACTGGTGCATGACAAAATACCGGCAACCCTGATCGCAGATTCTTCAGCGGCAGCATTAATGAAGGCTGGTCATGTGGGCGCCGTCATTGTTGGAGCTGACCGCATTGCCGCAAATGGTATCTTATTGCTAGCATCGATCGTTCTCAATTTTTGTTTGCATTTACCCATCTAATTCCATGACTTTTGTTTTGTTTTGTTTTGTTTTTTTTTTTTTGGCCAATTTTTCTCATTGACTGTTAGTCTAGCTTTTGATTATCTTAAACTATGATAGTGATATTATTGTGCACTCTATTGATATATCGGGGGGGGTTGACTGATTATTTCTTTATTTATCTCTTGTTGTTGTTGTTGTTGGGGATCCTGCTGACAGGCGACACGGCCAACAAAATCGGGACATACAGCCTGGCGGTGTCGGCATCGCACCATGGAATCCCATTTTATGTGGCGGCCCCCTTCACTTCCATCGACCAGTCGATCCTCTCAGGAGACCAGATAGTGATAGAGGAGAGGTCTCCAAAGGAGCTGCTGCACTCCCGCGGAGGACTCGGGGAGCAGGTGGCCGCATCCGGCATAGCTGTTTGGAATCCAGCATTTGATGTCACCCCGGCCGTTCTCATCGCCGCCATCATCACCGAGAAGGTGACCGACCCACCCACCATGAAATCAGTCGATTGGTTTTGATTATCTTAGACTATAATAGTGATATTATTGTGTGCCCTTTATGGATGCTGATCTGAGCAGGGAGTAATCACGAGGAACTCCGAGGGCTCTTTTGCCATCAAGGAATTCCTGGAGGCCTTTGAATCCTCCTCCAATCCTGCTGGCTAGGAAGGTAGCAGAAATTCTCTCCTAATTATGTTCCTATTGCCTCAAAAGATAAAGATATAGATGTTTATTTTTATCATGAAAAATCATTAATTTCCTGATATTTTTATGCAGAGAAATCTTATTATCTGAGCTGATAACATGCATTTTCTGACTGTAAACACGATATTTTATGCAGAGAAGTCTTTGTGGGCATCGATGTATGGTTATGAATCCATGGATTACAAATAAGCAGCAGATGCTGATCCCTTCGACATTGATTCATGCAAGTATTAGTATTATTTATTTATTATTTTTTTAAAAAAAGAAATCAATGGCATGGATGGGGGGTGTCCGTGGGCTAGGTGAAAAGCCAGAGCTTGTTAATGTCATAAAATTTAGGTATCAAAATAAGGGTAAAAGATAGAAATAAGGGTTTATTTCTATTTTTATGTGAGATTGTTTTGGGATCTTATGAGGACCTTCCATTTGGTATGTGGCTGTTCTCTCTCTATTCAATTGGAGCTTCCTCCCTTTGTTGGGTGGTATCATCTCACTGGGCCATGTCTCCTCTCACCATCACCTTCTTCTTCCAATCTATGATCCCCTCTGCTTCTACTTCTCGTAGCAACAGCCTCCTTGGCTGGCTGTGAATAATGTACTGATCGATCAAATTACTCTCGAGTAAAAAGGCAATAACTAGGTTCTTTTATATCTTTTTTGAAATAATTTTAAAGAGTAAACTGAAATTAAATATGGAATGAATCCACAAAAATGGTAAGATCATATAAAGTAATCATTGTCAACCACAAAATGCATGTCTTGGTCAATGGATGTCCTCAGAGACATTATCGACGCAGGTTATTCCATTATTTTTCTCATAATTTTAATATGATATTATGGCGTACTCAATGCAGTGCAAAAAGAAAGAAAACTACTTCAATGGGAGAAAGAAGACTAAGTTTCCATTTCATGATGCTTATTCAGATAAAATAACTAAGTTAGTCAGTGTTCTAGACTTGTAGGTTGTAGAAGACAACCATTGTCAATTCTGACTTTATGGTTTTCCTGGCCACTGACCCCAATTGATACAAGCGTTGACCTTCCGCATGCCCCCTCTTGCATCACAATTTACACATGCAACAATTGATGATCAACATGCGCAAGGCTTCTTTTAGGCTCACGTGAAAGATCCAGACGAGTTTGTTATATAAAAGTTGAGAGTTTTGAAAAAGGAATTAAAGTCAATTTATCCAATTCAGCAAGCTGGTAGTGGCTAAGGCATTGACCATGTTAATTACTCACCTTCGCACACTGAAAATCTCCGAATCTTCTCGAAAGAGGATGGGATGGGTTCTGCGGAAACGATGATCCTTCAAGTCCCTTTTAGGAAGCCGCGGCCTGAGAGAGTTTGCTTCATTAGAGGACGGATGATCGGAGGAGCAATGAAGGAAAACTCGCCATGGAACTCTCTACTCTACCTTCGTCCTTTTTCCCTGAACCGCTCGGCCGGTCACCCGAGCGTGATCTCTGCGCGCTAGATCCTGCCGGCGGATCCCTCACCGGCCCTGCAGAAGCTTTCTCGGCAGCGAACTCAGAGGATGATTCTATGGGAAAGGGAGCTCTTATCTCGGAGGAGCTCCAGGTGGCAGAAGACTCCCCCTCTGGTTCTGCTGATTCAGCAGGTGATGAGCTCTGGCTGCGCATCAAAGAGGACTTGGGAGGAAGATCATTCGACTTTTTGGTGACGGCCACAGGGGGGGAGAGGGCGCCGAGCCGGACGTCGATCTGTTCATGGCTCGAAGAGGATAGCCATCTGACTGTGCTGGCCACCTGGGAGTTGTAGAAGGCCCTCCCCGCCTTTTTATACTTGTCGTAGCAGTCTAACTCTAGGAGGGCAGCGGGTGGCTCCGGGTCAACCCTGGGGAAGAATGCGAGAGGTGATTCAAGATTTTTATCGTCAAGAACAGATGCAGAATATATGAAGGACGCCTTTTCTTCTGTGCCCTCAGTCACTAATCTCTCTCTGTGGATGTCAGATTCAGCGGAGAAGTTATCAGCTAAAGAATTTAGAATCACATGGAGTGATTCTGGTGCCCTGAAAAAGGTAGAGCCACGGGAGCATCTGGTCCGTATACTTCTCAAAATGGGAATCATATTTTTCTTTCAGTCAGGTTAAGTGTATCTGAATAATCTTAAGCAGGTCACCAGAAACATCTGACGATTCAATATTAGTATCCGATTCCTAATGGAGAATTTAAAAAATTTCAACGCCCATGATTTTCTACCTGGAAAACAAATTATCGACATCTATAATACTAAAAAAAGCAACGAGAAATTTGGTGGCATGATGGTCTTTCTTTGGGAAATTATGCGATTTTTTTTTCTACTTGGAATCAAATGAGGAGAGTATGAAAGAGAATGCAAGACAAACATACATAGGAATTCCAAGTCGTTCATGCGCTTGCTTCAAGGCATTCGACATCCTCTGCTTAGCTGCCTCTCTCAACGTTCCGGATATGGCCTTCTTCTCAGAAAGCCCAGCGGCCTGCCGCAGAAAATATTCAAAAGGCACCACGTGCTGAACTGAAGCCAGATTTTTTGCTGTTGACCGAATCGAAGACTAGAAATATCTGCTGGATATATTTATATAAATTTTTAAATCAACATCAATAGGCAACAAGTGTATTGCTGAGTTTGTTGATTATTTTTAAAATGAGATAATTATGCAGGAGGCAAGTATTGAGGTGAGTGCGGCCACAGAGTGAGCACTCCATTCGAATACTTCATCAAAGTAGTTGGCGATCCAATTCAAAACCAATCGAGAAATATGCCCGCTTTCAAGACAATATTATTTTATTCAGTATTCCCTATATTTATGGCGGTTGTAACCAGGTTAGTCTTCTGTGATCTGTACGCTAGAATATGTTCAATGAACAGCAGATTATCTTCACTGTAGATCACGGAAATTCAGAGATTCGAAAAGCCTGCTAGTGGGAAAGCATCGTCTTACCTTTCTTTTAGGGCAGCTGTTTGCATAGTACCTCTCTTCAGCACGCTGCAGTAGTTCCATTCTAGAATCTCCCTGCATTGTGGGCTTGATGCGGATATTCACGACCTCGGCTTCGTCTGTATGTTGAAAGATGCAAAAAACAGTATGATTTACGGATTCGGATGGAATGAAGGGATCAACCGCCATCTGGTTCATTACCATCGGAAACAGAGATGCTTTCTTCAGAGAGATCTTCTTCCTCTTCTCGGTTCCAAAATTCTGTTTCGTGAGCAACTGATGGGAAATCCATCGAGCTGAAGGCATCGACCGAGGATGGCAACAGGAAATTAAGATCAAAGTGAGCGTCCAAAACGTGGTTCGTCGATTGCAGGCTGAATTCTTCGAATTTATTCCGCAATTTGAAAATTCTCCTCAAGTCATGGATATATAAATTATAGAAATTATCACTCAAGAAAAACACGCGGCAAAAAATCATGCCTTCTTTTATTTCATTCACCAAATATTTACTGGGCAGAAGGTGATACAGATGAGCAGATCGGACATGGATAAGGGAAAACAAGACCGATTATCAAACAAAAGAATAGTATCTGTTTTCTCAAGACATCTGATGGAGTGGTGTTACTCTCAATCACGTAAAAACCGAGACACCTGAGCGCAGAAGCAAGCTAGTTAATTCAGAACGATGTAGATTTCTCGGAGTTTAGGAGTGAGAAGGCTCGAGAGACATAGCGCAGCCCTTCATTTCTACGCTTCGTTAACTATGCAGTTGTAAGCCAACAGTAAAAATCCCATGTTTGAGGTCTCCAGATCGTTTATCTTATCTTAGACTATGAGGAATCAGTTCAGAGTTCAGCAGTATGGAAAAGCATGATCCTATCGTTATATAGAACGATCAGTTCAGGTCTGCAGTTCAAACTCCGGAGACTCTAATGGCTTTCTGATTCCCTTGAAAATTCTCAAGCTAGCTAATATTTTAATTAAGATGATTTCGCCTTATGGTCGAACAGGAATATAACCAAGTATAGCTGGGTCATTAGATGACCGGGATCTTCTCAAGAAGGAAAGGAAACGCTAAAAAATGGAGCAAAGTTCCCTAGTACACAAACGAAAATCCCGACTCTCATGCACTATATCAACTTTGCAATCGGAAGAAGTTTACTGCAAGATTATGTCCTTCCATTAGCATAGTTTACGAGATAATATATGATAATAAGAGGGAAAATATGGGACAAAGGTGAAGGGAAATTGTGCTTCCAGTCTGATATAAGAGACAAACTATCCATATGGCCAGGTGCTAACAATGGTGATAACTTAATCAAGCAGACAATAAACAAAACCACCACATTCTCTTGTTAACAAGTCTAAAATGATCATCAGGTTTATCAGTCCTCCTCCATAAATAACTTTAAGAGATAGGATAGAGTAAGAAAATATAAGGGAAAAAACATAGGCGAGAAAAGTTTGGAAGCATCAGATTATACATGGTTTTAATCGCAGAACATGACACACGGATACTTTTTCTATCTCAAGAAGAAAAGATGAATTCTAACTACCCGATTCTTTAACTCCCAGAAAACTACTGCACATTCAATTGCACCAATAATTGGTCCATTAATTTTGATTGTCTTAAAAGTGAAAGGAATAACAAATGGACCATTAAATTAGGCACCAATTCATAGTACCTGTTCATGAAGACAGGAACGAGTCCACACCTCTGGCGATTGCTTGAAAAATGGCCAAGTTTTCGAAGAGATGCAGCAACATTACATGGATCTTTGCATGCATCACATGTTTTTCGGCAAAGCGATCCAGAGACCTGACTAAGATGTTAACTACTCGATATATGCATACATCTACAAATCTGAAGTAAAAATGCAAGTGTGGGAGGGTAAAATCTGAACACCTGTTCTCCAAAACATTCCAGTATTTTCTTCCTACGACAGCCAGATCCTTCGCAGTACTCCACCATCTGGATATAATAAAGTTTCGCCATTCAAATATCCAGATGATGAAAGACGCTCGATTATCCAATTTATTGTTCCTACCTGAGTGAAGTCAGCCAAGGATTTTTTTACAGAGGCATCTGACACAGTTGAAGATTTCTGCCTTTTTGCCCCAGCATTTCTTAAAATGAACTCCTATCAAACACCTCAGTTATCAAAAATTGATAACTTGGACAAAAAGGAGACATTACTTTATAATTCGATTACCATTCTTCTGCAGTCATCTAGACCATAATACAGTACACTTTCTGAGGAAAAATTATCACGTCCTGCTCTGCCTGATTCTTGATAAAAGGACTCCATCGATTTCGGAATATTGTAATGGCATACAAGTCGAACATCTTTCCTGTCTATACCCTATAAACGGAGCATAGAAGGCAAAAAGCCAGTAAGAACATAGAACAATCTCATCCGAATGTGATTGTACGCTTATGGTGGGAAACCCTCCAAAAAACAAATAAATACGTACCATTCTGGCAAAGTGGTCCATGTTTTAGGTACGTGTCCATACACCAGAGTCCACCCAAGGTTAAGGAGTAAAATTGACGAAAATAATTCAAGTTAATTGCAAGATCAAGAATGAAAAACATGCAAGAAAACAACTATGAATGACAGGAAAGCATTCCAACGTAAAAACTCAAAAATCTAACAGAGAATTGGTCATAATACACTTTACAAAAAGCCTAGCAGAAAGATGCTGAATATTTTCTCTAAGGAAACAGACTGAATTATCTGTTATTAGACTATGATAATTGTCTAATAAAATCAAAGCGATCAGAGTCTTTCTCTCACAGTCCCACAGCTATCATACATAAAAAAAAAACATGTATTGCCTCAAAAAGAATAAATAAAAATCAAATTCGATACTGGAACCTTACCAATTCATCCGTGAAATTCAAAAAGTATCAATAAAACTAAAGTATATGTTTCAATCCGAATTCATTCATATATCCATTATAAGCCCCCCATAAATAAGCATACAGCTAATAAAGATCTCAAAGTAAAGAATATCACATGATGTACAAACACTAGGCTCCAGAGTAGAAAAAACAATCGGTGGTGAAAATTAGATCACCAATTGACCAGGTTTTTAATGAGAAATAGATATAATATAGACACTTATAAAACCCCCATTAAACTCTTACTGATAAAACCTTGAGATATTTCCCCTGCCAAGCACATTACTTTCGATGATAAAAAATAATTTTAATGATTAAGCACATAGAATGTCACGGCAGAGAATAATATGAATGAATGAATGTCCATGTACTCTCAAAATGGGCACTTTATTACAATGAAGATGTGAACGTTTGTTTGTCATACGATATATAGTTTACAGTATCGACTGTGCAGTTTCTGAAGATTTTGTAGTAGTATCTTAGGTGCAGACCACAAAGATGTTTAGAAAGGTATACAACAAAGCAAGACGGTTCATTCTAATAAACTATAGCTGCAACTGACATAGGAAGTCAAATGGGAAAAAGTACATCAAGGTCGGCACAAAAATTCTACCCAAAAGCCACCGTCGCTACAACAACTTGTGTTCTTGAAGAAATCCAATCATCTAAAACATTGCTTCGCGTCTTATCGTTTAATCCAGCATGATATGCTGCAAAGAATTTGAAAGAGAAAATTTATAGGTATGATTTCGTATAACTCTCTAACAGCAGATACTTCTGAAATGTTGCATGATCTTACCAGCACAAGATATACCATTCTTTCTCAGATGAGCAGACAAATCATCACACGTGGAACGTTCATGACAATAAATAATAGAACAGACAGATCCTCTTGACTTGATCAAGTTAAACAAGTCTGTGTTTGTGTCATCTGTAATATCCTTGTACCGAACTGTACAAGTGGAAAATTAATCAAGTGCAGTATAATAAAATCTTTTCAGGCAAAGAGAAAAAATCGTACAATCTTGTCCTCTAACAGAGATGTTTCGAATTAAGTTTATATAATATGGAATTTTCACCGAAAAAACTGAAAATTATTTACCCAATTATACAATAAAAGTGAAAAAGCCAGTTCACACTGACATCTATCAACCACAAAACTTCACTAAATTGTAAAATCTAAAGACAAAACTCATTATGGAGCCAGCTTGAAATGGTGGCCACGGAAGGTATATTATATGGCCAACAAAAACAAAATATCCAGGATCAATGAGCCACTTCTCTGAGACAATTTCCATACTAGAGGGATTAAATAAGCTTGCATATTATAAGCACCAATATACATTACTGAGACATAAGTTAACCAGGTCATATCTTACCTTCATAAAATATATTAGGACGATTGAATGATGCTCTAAGAATTAAGGGATTACGTAGGCCCAGTGATTCTATCACATCCTTCTCAACTCTGCATCACAAACACTTTAGAATCCAGTCTATGGAAGAAGACAAGCATGAGAAGTTAAAAATATATATTTTTTCAATACAATATTGATATTCAAATAATGAAATTAGCCAAGATGCAAGATCAAATTTTAAAATCATGATCAGCTGCAGCGAGTCCTGTCAAGGATGTGTGGAGGAGATCAAATCATTGTCTTTTCTAAGATAAAGACAGATCGCACCAATAGTCATAAGAATAATACTTTGTCATTATGAACCATAAAAAGAGGACATTCTAAAGATAAAGCTTTCATCCCTAGTGACGGCATGTGACCCTCAAGTCTCCGCCACCAAAGTGTTGTCTATAGTACAAGATAAAGAGGAATCCCATTCGAAGGTGCAAGAAAAAAATAAGGAGGAACCCCATCAGATTTATGGGCAAAATTTTGGATGAGCTAATAACAACAAACAAATAAATCCATACGGCTAATGAAATTTTCTCACGAATAACAACGTAACTACTCATTTGGAGAAAACACAATGGTGGAAAGCAGGATGTTTCAAGTGAATGTGCAAGATGACAATAAGTAATTCTATCTCAACGACAAGATCACAAGGTCATTAAACAGGTGCAAAAGGAATTCAGCTTGACCAATGTAAAATCTACAGAAGAAAAGAGGAAAGGGAAAAAACATATCTGAACTAAAATTGTCTTTACTGAAACTGTTTACAGAAATTGAGATTTGACAGCTACAGAAGAGGACTAGACATTTTAGTTGACCTGCAGCTCACTGCATATGAGACATGATATGATACGATCTTGCACTCTGATCTGATTCCTAGCAAACACCTAATCCCATGATAGTTCCAGTACAGTAGTGGTACTCATGGCAGTTGAGACTGGATGAAAAAGTAGCAAAAAGATGGTGACAAAGGAAGAAAGGGCAGTCATATGCCTTTCCTCCACCAGAGCACCAAGTGGAGGGTGACAGATATGAAGATAGACCAGAAATCACATCTTGAAGTTATCATGTTGGTCGAATAAGGATAGAAAAGAAATTCATCATAAAAAACGACTAAAACATATATCGATATACTTTGGAGCAGCTGTCGCAGTCAATGCCAGCAATGGCACATCAGGAAGATCATTCTTCAGAGATGAAAGTTTGCGATATGCAGGCCTGCAATTAAATGCAATAACTGATAAAATAAAAATAAAAAGGAAGAGATACACAAGAATCGAACACTCTTAAAAGTAACTGACTAAGTTACAAATATTCCACCTAAAATCACCATATTCAACTATGCAGCCAATGAAATCATAGAAATCATCATCTTATGAGCAAACCTGAAGTCGTGACCCCATGATGAAATGCAATGAACCTGAAAACGAGGAAGTAACTGAGATAGGGTGGATACACTGAATAATGAACCATCAAACTCAGACTGCATCGTATAGCCTGACCTCATCTATGGCAATCAAGCTCAATAACCCTCTACTGTGAAGCTTACTTAGCTTCGCTTTGAATCCAGGTGTTGCAACCAACTCTGGAGTTACATACAACAAGCGCAAGGATAGCTTCCCACAATCAAGTTCGTCATGGATCTAGCAATATATAAGAGAAATGATGTTTAAAAGAACAGAAACTTCGCATTGTATTCATAGATCACAATTCTCAAACGACTTGAAGGAATCATTGAAAAATTATTTTTATTTTTATTTTTATTTTTTGCACTAAAGCTTTCTGCCCATCAAATAGAAAGGCCAACGCACAAAGACACCCGCTCAAAAGCAGGAGGAAATGCATCAAATAGCAAGGCCAAAACACACAGATTCTCATACTAACTGAAGTAAAAGGAAGACCAAAGATAATTGATAATCACACAGTTTTATCTGGGATGAAACAATAAATAAGCGAATCCCCCTCGTCATTGATCTAAGACTTGTGATAAATGACCAAAATTTGTGACATGTTGACCAGGCGAAAGAAAAGAACAAAAATCGAGTACTAAATCTGCAAAACACGAGATCTTTAATCTTTGGGTCCATAAGGAATGTTTTGGACGATATTTTAATCCACAAGGATCTGAATGACCCCTCAAATCCACAGAGGTTGCTTGAATTCACAAGCAAAAATAAATATCTAAAGAGACCGAAATTTTTTATTAATAACGATTGATATTACAACATTCTAGCTTTTAAAAAGGCTGAAATCAGTTTTTACTTTCTTAAAAAAATGAATCAGTTAACTAGACAACATAAAAGTTAATTAACAGAAAAATAATTTTAAATCCTCCGAAATCGATGCATTATCCTTGTAGTTTGGGCCTGTTTGGTTGAATTTGAGCTTGAACCTTTGTGATCCACACCATTACGTTTTCAGCTGATCAAAATATATAAAACCAACAATCATGGGTCTATAACTTTAGTTGAAAGGAAACAATCAGACTATAGATATTTCCAACCGATCTGCTTCTTTCCATGATGAGATTATGAAAATAAAAACCTGCTTTCAGGGAGACCATTGATGTTGCATCAAGATATTTACGTAAAGGATTTCAATGAAAGTTGTCGAAATTTTGGCAGGAGAGAATCAAAAGCATTTCAGGGAGGAACTTAGAAGCCCAGCTGTTCACCATTCACGTTATCTCATATTGATCCTTTGCATGTGTGCTAACAGATCACACCATCCAAAAACAAGATGATCAATGAATATTCTTAACGAAACATATAAAAATCCAATTGAAAAAATTCCAGGATAATAATTGAGATTGAAATTCGTAATCCGTTAACAATTAATATTCGCACAATTTCGTTGAGTCTTGGAGAACCTGTCATAATTCCAGAATTTACCTTCTCTCTGACTTGTGGTGTCTGTGTGGAGGAGAGATACTCGGCCGAAATACCTTTCTGCTTCAGCGTTTTCACTTGATTTTCCTATTCCAAAAAACAGAAACAGGAAGACTGCAGGAAACAACTAAAGGGAAAACTCACAATGAATATGACGTGGTAAATAAAACGCGGTGCACTCACCATCAGCGCTGGTCAAGGTGAAACAAAAATTAGTCAGCGAACAACCGACGTATTGGAAACTGCAAAGAAGTGACATGTTCTATCAAATTCGCAGCGGCAAATATCCAGATTCTCACCGATCAAGGGAGAGATGACAAGAACAATGCCGACCTTTGCCAGCGCTGGGATTTGGTAGCACATCGACTTGCCTCCTCCGGTCGGCATAAGGCAGAAGCAGTCCCTTCCTATGAAACCCAACAGATAGCGAAGTCTTGCCATAAGAAATCAGAGACAAATTCAACTACTTGGCCATATACGTCCTAAAATCTAACGAAATAACCTGACAACGCGGCCTGGATGGCCTCCAGCTGTTTGGTCCGGAAATGGGAGTGTCCAAAATGCCGCCTCAAGAGCTCCTCGAGAACCTCCTTCCCTGGCGGCTTCTTCGACGATCTAACGGCCTCTTTCAGAGGCAGCGGCAACTTCTTCATCGGAACCCCCGGCCGGAGAGCCTGCGCAAAGGGGAGAGGAGTTGCCAAGGGGAGATGACGAGGGCAGAGAAGCAGAGCGGGAAATGTTAGGAAGGTTTCTCGTTGGCGACCTGCCGTTACGAGAAGGCAGAGACGGACAGGTATTTATAGCCCATTCCACTCGGTTGAAAACCGGTTGAGCGGAGGCGTAACTCAGTGGGCCCCACAGACCCAACTCTCACGACGTAAAAATCTATCACCATTCATCTTCCCCAAGAAATAAAAAATTAAAGTAAATTAAATTAACATTTAAAATGCATGAGCAAGTTTAATCATAAACCTGAAACATCGACCATTAATTTTATTTCAAAAATAAGATAATCAAAAGACATAATCCTTCATTTAAGCTCCACCCGCCCTGATCACACAATCGGGCCTCGGGCCTCCCGGGGCCGGGTCCCATTTCCAGGTCTCGGGCCGGACTTAGCAAGGCTACGGAGCCCGGATGCGGGCAAGCCCACACAATTCAAGGCCCCCCCCTATGTTTTTCCCTCTATAACTTGGCAAACTTTCTCCATAAAGCCCACCCGATAACCCATCATCGGGCCGAGCACGACTCCGGGCGGGCTTTGTAATAAGCCGGAAAAGCCCATCACGACCTACTTCTCTCAACACAGATGAACACGTAAGCGCCTCTGTGGGTTACATCCTCTGATGGGCAAAGGACAGTTACGAAGATGTAATTTACAGGTAAGGGAATAGTCAGTCTCACAGGCTGACCTCGGCTTGTCCCTCCGGCCTTCAGGTCAAAGCCAGGTCAACCTCGGAGTCTCCTTCCACCGCTGCCGCCGCCCCCTCGAATTCCTCGATGAGGGCTTCCATGTTTCTCCGGTAGATTGGCATGTAGTGATCGTTGATCATCATCTGCGAGAGCCGCAGCTTGCCGTAGAGGGACCTCGGGGTGAGGAAGATCCCCACCTTGGGGCCTGGCGGTGGCGACGCTGATCCGGGACTGCCACCTCCTTCTCCGGGCTTCTCCTCCTCGGGGAGCAGGGAGACGATGTGCATGATCCTCCCGGGGGGGAAGAAGCGACGGGCTTCCGCCGCTGGTACGAGAAGGCTCTCGTTGACCCCCTCCGCCGCAGCCGCCGCCGCTGCCTTCTCCTCCTCCCTGATCTCCTTCACCACGTCCGCCTCCTCGGTCTCCCTCCGCCGCCGGTAGAGCTCGTCCTCGAGCTGCTGCCACAGCTCCACCTCCGACATGCCATCCTCGCCATCGCCGCCGTCCTCACCAGATGGGACGATCTCAGAGCTCCATCCTCCGTCGTCTGTGGAAGTCAACGCCGCCCTCGATTCGGCATCCGAGCCAACAGTGTCTGCAGAGACAACGGAGGCCACCACCATATCTTCTGCTTCACCACCTTTCAAGCTCGACACCACCGAAGAGGCTGCATTGCGGCGGCGGGGCCCCATGCAGGACCAAGAAGGTAGGCGCAAGGGCGGGCGGCTCCACGCCGCCTGAGCGACATTCCGGGCCCGCTTCATCACGACCTGTGTCAACGGGGCAAAACAAAGACTTCCTCTGTTGAGATGAGGAGGACCCAAAAGTGGAAACAAGGCAGCATATTGCAGGAGAAGTCATGGCCTTAAGCGACATTTTTATGAGCAAAAATATGGGGGCGGCTGATCCGATCAATTCTAGGCTTAAGCGACCAACAAACCCAGGATAAGAAGAAGCCTCAGTTGACTCGCTGGTCAACGAGCTCTTCTGGTCCCATGAACCAAAGTATTTGAGATGGAGAAGGTAATTATCGGACAGAGGTCCTCCCGAAAGAACGAACATGATTGGAACAATTAAAGAGACTAAGACTCCTCGAAAGTACAGAAAGATGAACCTGTGTGCCATTGGAGACGGGGCGGAGGATCGCACCAGCCCCGGCTACTCTCGCTCGGGCGACGGCGATGGATGGAAGGCGGGACCCGAGAGCAGTGGCCGACCGATACACCGTGCTCAGTATCCGGGTCCGCTCGATTTGGTTCCGCAGATCATTCAGCCACGCAGATGCAGTAACCTGCACGAAAAGAATACTTGAGCAACATAGAAAAACCTTGTATATTTTTTTCCATGGCGAGAACTGTTATAGAAAGTGGGAGGGGGGAGGGGGAGAAGTGAGGTAAACAACAGATAACCTATACAAAGGTTCCAGTAGAGTCAACCTCAGCACGAAGGTCGTCAACCGAAGCAGCTGAGAAGGTGGGCACCAGGTCAGCTCCATTAATAACGGAAGTGATGAAGTCCCTCCCCGACTCTGCCAGCTCCCACGTCATGCAGGCAGCTGTGCACGAGAACAAGATACAAGCAAGGTCAAAAATGAGAAAAAATAAGTGAATAATATAGAACACGCATATATGGACGTATTTAATTAATTTATTATTCTGTAGCTGCCGGGAAGCTGTGACAGAATGAACTACCAAGGCCTAGGTCTCTGAGTGCCTGGAATTTTTGAGGGGAGCGTTGCTTCAGTTCACAATTTTTTTTAGCATGCGATAAAAATTGATAAATATGGAGAAAATGGTCAGGGGCAAAGATAAGTCAACCCATAAATATATCTGAGGTGGAATTTTAAATCATATTAAATAGCAGACAAAGAAATAACATCTTGTTTTTTAAGTAAAGTAATGGCAACAGAACCAAAACGTTTTAAGGAGACCAACCTGGGGCAAAGGCAGCACACGTCATACTGGAGAACTCCTGCTGCTCCCGTAGAACATACGTGAGAAGAGCTGCCGTCCCGCCTCCCAAAGAATGGCCAACGATCTGAAATATTACAGAAGAAACTCCTAAGCTTTGGGTGTGACTCTTCTCACACATGAAGCTGGAAAATAAAATTACATTTAAAAATAAATAAATTGAAGGCGGTTCGCTGGAACTCTCAAGTAAGGTTCAAAAATTCAGAGAGCTAAGCAGTTCTACTCGTCAAGAAATGTCTTCGTGTTCGGACAATATATTGCAGAAATCCAGTCTATATGGTCGACCAAGGAAGAAAGAGGGCTATTGGATATGTGAAATTAATGCATTAGCATATGAAACGATTGTGATGAAGGACAGGAGGAAACTGAGGTAAAAAATGAGGAGAGAGACATAAATGAAGAAAAAGAGCAGCAACTTGTGCGTGATATTGTACCAAGACCTGTGGAAAGAAGCAGTTATGGAAAAAATGGGCAGAAAATTGTGAATACCGAGCAGCAACCAATAGAAATAGAAGCAAGGGCAGCTCAGTTGAAGCGATGGAAGATTTTGTGGCATCACTTCCAAATGGGGTGGTGTATAATGTAAATAATTTAACTTCATCAAAGTTGGTCCTGAGGTTCTGGATATTGCATCAAGTTCCAAAATTATTGTAGATGGTATTTGCCGATCCTCACAGCCCAAATTCCTTTTTTTATATATACCAGCTGTGAAGGAACGCAGTCGAGATATGCTATCTAGCATATTTTTTTACACAATTCCTTGAATAGTTACGCTGCTTAAAAGTTAAAATATCCTTTTTAAAAAATCTCACGAGGGGTCTGATTCTTGTTTCTGATTTGTGCAGGAGTTGATTGCCTGAAAGCTCATAAGCAGAGGTTTAGCGAAAGTTATATTAAAACATATGTTTAACGACTACCCCGAAGGGCATCTAAGATCATAAACAAAATATAGCGACAGTTAGAGCCAGAAAAGTTAGAAAAAGGAAAGGGCAATTCTAGAGACTCGCCTTGATTTTGTAATCTGGATGTTCATGAACTGCCTTCATAAGACAAGGAGTTGCAAGTTTTGCAATCCATCTAGCAGCAGCAACCATCCCACAATGTGCATAACCTAGAACAAGATCACTGACACCGCCTTCATTTAAAACAGTATGATGGAATGGGACAGTTCCCCCAGTAGCAGCTGTCAGAGTATCTCTAATGCTATGTGTTCCACGGATTAATAAAATTATACACTTCGTGCTTTTGTCAGTTAAAATTGTAAAAGCTGGTTTCAAAATCTGCAAAAAAAATAATTGAAGACATTAATTCAGGCAAATAACATTAAAATAATCATGAAATAGTACATAATTATAAATAAATAAAAACTCCAGGAAATGGAAAAAAGCACACAGCAACACCGCTTACTCCTGCTTTTGGTTCCTGAAAGAGGACATCTTCTTGAGAAAAACCAGTTGCCTCTAGAAACAATGGGAATGGTTTTTTGGAGAAATGCCAACAGAGTATTAACAAACTGAGAAGATATTTCAGCTCAGCAGCAATTTCAATTCCTTTAAGTTGCGTACTTTCATTCCCAGCATATATATTCGCAACAGGTAAGTTTCCCTGCAAAGAGAAAACTAGATATGTCAGTAAAAATAATCCCGCATCCAAAGTGCATAAGGTGTGATACCGCAAGATAAACCGTGGTTCAATATCATACATCATTCCACAACTGAGACTCCATTGGAAAGATACAATCAGAAATAGACGCATAGCAACTCTCCAGTGAAAAGCCTTTTCACAATTTAGCAGTTAAATACGGCGCAACAATGGCTGAGGGTTTCGATCATTCGGTGGTGGAAGGGTGTTTGTGCCCAAAATCAAAACGGGGCCTACTAAATAACAAGATAGAACAGTTTGAAGATATCATTGACCTAGTGGTGAAATGATTATTGCGGGAAGTTACATGAGTATTCATGGAAATGGAAGTGGAGAGAAATAACGTTTCCTGTTGCACTTGTACTAAGCCATAAGTCACTTATTCCAAGTCATAAGTCGGTTCCTCAGATATAATAAATGTTCTTCACCAAAACATGGATTATCGAGAAATTCCACCTACATAGAAGATATACAAAGGTGGGAATAGACCCAGATACTTAAAAGGACTAAGAAGTGCGGACATTCATCCATCATTGTCATGTCGTTTAAAACGAGAGGAGCAATCGAATTTTCAGGCATAAAAATTTATCAACAAATTGAGTCTTTCTCTCCGTTTCTGCATGGGCAAACTAGTGGGCAGGGTGACGAATAATGAGGAAGTGGGTGACTCTGTTGTACGAGTGTCCAGGCCCACAGATGAGACCATAACATCTTGGTGTAGTCTAACACTCTTGTACAATAATCTTTTTTAAAGTGTTGATTATTTGCATACTTTTGTATCCGAACATCTATCGCTAAAGGAATCAGTGGCTCCAAATCCAATTTTTTGCCAGTAATCTGACAGTACAACACAGGTAGTGACAGAGCCAAAAGCGACCATTCTCAAATTGTGACGAATTTCATGTATCACTGTTGGAGGGTAGAAAAGAGCTAACTAACAGCAGAAACTAATCATGTACAGGCGATCATATACGAGGAACCGAAAATCATTCTTAAAATGCCTATATATTTTAATATACTCAAGTTTAGTCGTTTTTTTTTCAAGGCTACCATATCTACCAAAAAATGGTATTCTTTGAACATTTGGAGGCCACATAATGGACAAAGATTTAGATCCACTAGTAGATTGCATTATCAGTAGATTGCACTATCTGGATTGGGTGGCCAATGCAAGTTAAGCCAGATATCTCACGTTCATCTTAATTTGGTTCCTAAATATAATATTCACAGAGCATATTTAGCCTTTTTTCCCCATCCCAAGAATATCAACAAAGAAATCTCCTCGTAGAACAAGTTCATAAATTTCTCAGTTATTGCCCTACACAACGGAAAATGAGGTAGGCATGTATTTCTTTCGTGAAAAAGGTGTCATGAAAAATTGGATGGGATCCATTACCTGCCTCTTTAGAAGAAAATTGATGCCGAATGCCAAATCTCCAATGGGCCATTTCCCCAAGGTCTCAGAGTAAGTAAATCTCAATGTCTCGGACAATGTGGAGATGGTCTCCAACCACGTTGCAGGGGCCTGCGCTGGTCTCCTCGACACTCTCTTGCTACTGGATGAAGATGAACCCTGCTCTTCTCTTTTGTCGTCATCTTCCTCACCCCGAGTTTGGCTTATCTGTAATCTTCGGTTCAGTGTGTAGTAGAGAATGGCAGCAGCACCGACCGCAGTAGCCATGGTTGTGGTCGCCATTGCGTCCAACAAATCCCAAACATGTAATGTTCATTCTATCATACAAAAGAAAAATGAATGATATTCACTTTCAACCAGAACGGAGACAAATCACCTTCAAGGCAAATCATAGACTATCAAGAAAAACACTAGACACGAGAACAAAACCCCCATGATGCGTCAATTTCCCAAGCAAATTCCCAACGAGGAAATGAGCTTCAAAAACTGATGAGAAATTCTGGGAATTAAATCAGAAATTTCAAAATTTACGAGCCAGAACCCAGGGAAAGATAGATCCCAACCAGAACGAGCCGCTTTCTGCCATTCAGATCGCCCCACGCTCCGTGTCGCAGTAAACCCCGAACGAAATCCTTGCAACAAAAAAGGAAATACCCTCCGGATCGCCATCGGTTCAAATTGAATCAACGGATGAAAAAGACACGATTGCAATAAAGGCGCGATAATAGCAATAAGTTCCCACTGCCGCAACACCGGCTTATCCAACCAGCAACGAGAGACGAACGAATTACCCTGACATCAGCAACCGTTTCCAAAGCCGAAAAAAACCGATAACCCTAAATTGAAAGGAAATCCCAACAGCGGCTACTCACCATGCGGGATTGACACCCGGAAACGATCCCTAATCACCAAAATATACCGACACCGGCATCCGCGGGGCGACACCACGAAGAAGACCGCCGCCTGCGTCGCCCACCTCCTGACCCTCGCGAGAGCTGCCGGGCAGAAGAGCCCGGGGAGAACGGGGAAGACGCCGGTGGCTTCGCCGCTGGGTTGGGAAGTACCGCGTTAGACAGTAGTAGCCCACGGTTAGCCCAAGTTCATATCATATAGTACGCGTGCGATTGGAAATGCAATATCTCGGAGTGCTGGGGTTACGTGGACCATTAATCAGTCCCGATCGTGGCGACCGGAGAAAGTCTGATGTGGAATAACTCTCTTTTTTATGAAAGTAAATGGCATAAAACGACCAAATAATCCGCCCCGAACGACGACTGCGTGGGCCCTCCTCCTCTAGCTCCTCCTACTATTCAAGAGAGCTAGAGAGAGCGAGAGAAAAGAGAGAGCGGGAGTTGGGCCTCCGAGAGGAACCTTCTGAAGTCCGGTCCGGCCCGGACCTTGCCACGCACTGCTTACTCTACATGGGGAAGAGAGAGAGAGACAGACAGAAAGAAAGAAAGAAAGAGAGGCCGTCCCCCAAGGCCTTTGACCCACATGCAGTATGCTAGAGAGAGATAGAGAGAGAGAGAGAGAGAGAGAGAGAGAGAGTCCGTCCCACAGGGCCTCTGACCCACATGCAGGTATACTAGAGAAGGAGAGAGAGAGAGAGGCCGTCCCACAAGGGCTTTGACCCGCATGCAGGTATGCTAGACAGGGACACAGAGAGAGAGAGAGGGTAGAGAGACAAAGAGAGAGAGAGGGAGAGAAAGGGGGAGACTTGGCAGTTTGGTGATTCTGGAGTGAAGAGAGAGAAGTAGCTTCTATCTGGTAATGCTGAATCTCACCAGGCTCAAAACCATTATAACCCGTAATACTAACAACCAAAGATGAATAAATTTCTCCTGCATGCTATGCTAAGATAGCAACGCCCTATCTACCATTCGACCCGACATCTCCTCCTCAACCCGCCCCAAAAAAAAAAAAAAAAAGAAAGAAATCACTCCCCCCTCATTTTCTCAAAAAATATACAACAAAAAAGGGGGTCACCAGCCCCTGTCGTCCTATTTCTTCATCATCATCATCGATCCTCTTCTGCTGATGATTGGTCGGGGTCGATCGCTCATTCCACCAGGACTCGGAGAAGCCCCGGGAGATCCTCGGAGAAGCGGAGGCCCTCGTCGAGCAGGACCTGCCGGACGGCGGCGGCGGCGGCGACCCCCCCGGTGACCACCACCTGGAGGCGCCGCCGGGCTAGCCTCGCCCTCCACCGGAGAACTCCCAGCTCGTGCCTCAGGGCGCGGATGGCTTCCTCCACGCGCAGCCCCTCCAAGGGGATCAGGTGGTCCGCCAGGTCCCTGCGGAGAAGACGGAAGACCCAACAAAAGAAAACCAGTTTTTTTTTTTTTTTTTTTTTAGTTAGTTCGTTCGTAAAGAAGAAGACCGGAGGAGAAGGGGGCGACCACCTCTGTTGAAGGACGCATTCCCTGGCTCTTTCCTGGGCTTCTTTCATCGTCCTCAAGGTGACTTCTCTGGAGGGACCCTCCTCGCTCCCAGCGGCGTAGGCCTGCGTCGACGACTGTCCAGGACAAAACCATCACCACGCTCAAATCTACTCCTTGGAAGGGGGATTTGAGCTTGGGAAATATGCTTGGGAACTTGGGTGAAACCAGGAGGGGCCTTCGAACACTCCATGGTACATGAATCGGCGTAGATCGCCAGCGTCTTTACCTGTTCCGGGCAAGCGTTCTGAAGGCGTGCTAGCGTTCCTGCTTCCCCTCTCATCTCCGAGCACACTCGTGCTGCTCGCTCAACGCGTCGACGCAAGCGAAAATTATATAATTCAGGATGAGAAACCGATGCAATGTGCTATGAACAGCAGAAAAATCTCAAGGAATGCAGATGAAGATGTTACCCATCGTGTCTCCGGTTCCCCGCCAGAAACGAGCAGAGTAAGCTGTTTCGAGACCAGGTAGCTTGTCTGGAAAACCTGATAAAGACTGGGAAGTCCTCTTTGAACCATTCCTCTCATATTTCCAGCGCCCGGGATCTTCAAGGGCAAGCCTTCCGGCGGCTGAGGCAAAGCTGTACAGCCTCGACTCGCCATTCATGGGGGAGTTAGAGAAAGGGAGGAGTTCCTCGCCAATAGACTGATACGAGATTGGGGCTCTCTGAGAATCTTCACTGCCGTAGTCTGGGAATCCATTTGGAGATTCTGTGAGCGAGCGGACAGGGAATTCCAGTCCACCGAGGTTTGGGGCAACAAAGGACCTAGACTTCCTATTCATGTTGAATCCATTGACTTGAAGCTGCAGACCACAGATTAAAAAATTATCCCACGCCGGTGAGGAACCATCTAGCAGAGTATAAATCTTTGCATTGCAACATTGCAACCTGAGCATTAAACTATGGAGTGAAACGGGTCCAACCCGATTAAGAAATTACAATTGAAAAGGCACATTTTGTTAAGAGAAATCAAATGATGTGGAATAACGACTTTGCATGATAGAAGCCGTTTCTTTGTTTCGCCAAAGTTAGTTTTTTAAATAAAATTCATCATTTCTCTCCCGCACAACTGATCTCACATTTTCTTTATCAGAACTGGATTTCACAGCAAAGTAAGAAAATTATAATTCAATGGCACATGATGCATACCTCAAGTCTAGTGAGCTTCTCAGTTGTTGAGTTCAAGTCGCATCCATTTGCAAGGTACGCCTCCATAAGCTTCTCTACGGCAAAACCAGGGAACCGCGATGCCAAGAATTCCATAGCCTTGACTGCTTCCTTCTTAGTTAATAAATCACCAAGAAAAGAAGCACTTGAATCACCGATAGCATGTTCCCTCTCTCTATAATTGCCAACGTGTCGATCACCTCTCATAAAATGCTTGTCCCAGGGATTTGTAGCTAGATCCATGAGAGTAGTTGAGAAATTTTCTGCATACATAGGACTAGAATAACCCATTGTTCTACCCAAAGCGATGTTCGTACTGCCCTTAAGTGAGACTTCTTGCTGCTTACCCAAAAACTGGCCGCCTGCTGTCCTCGACATTTTCATCCCATCATTTAATGATAACTTGGAAAGTGAGAGGGCAGCGGCTGATTGCGAACCCTCATCCACCATGACTTTGAAATCAGGGGTAATATCATCAGGTAGTTGATGATCCCAGTATTGACGAGCTTCATCATCATAGTTATCTGAAATATTGAATGCTGGTCTATCTAAGACCGTCTTCCCAGATGTTCTTGGTGAATTGAGCCTCGTCATATCTATATTCCTGTCACTTCCAGAAGGTGATCTATGGACATAAGGAACAAACTCTGCCGCGTTGGGGTTAAGAGACGTAACATTGTTTTGTGCGTGTAATCTCATGTCTTCGTTATTGAGAAGAAATTTGCTACTTGAGCTCATCTTCATTCAGACTACAAAGAAACTGTGTTTTCATTCACCAAAAAGCAATTTATTGCAGTCCTGCAGGCATAATTTCAACAAGAGAAATAAATAATATCAGAAAACTTGCTCAGGAAGAGAAAATACCATTATAATTCTCACAATTACACTTTTAATACATATTCTGCAGCCAACTGATAGGCAACGTCTAAAGGTGCAAACAGTGATGGCTTTCCTCAATGCATTGCAAACCAGAATTGCCTTCAATTCAGTGTTTCCTAGTGCAATGAGACTTATAACTCATACACAAGGAAAGAACATCCTACGACTAAACCATAAACCCACCTTGTTCAGATTTATTTATTTATTTATTATCATATTTCCTATTGTCTATTTTAACATTACAATTGAGCTTCCCACACTTGGTGGTTCTACCTTGAGCAGGATTCTTCGTGAGCATTACAATTTACCCCATGGACGAGCAGATTTGATTGGAAAATCCCAAGAGTTGTAACAATTGTACTGTGGCAGGCTAGTTCCATTTTGTGGCATTTAAAATTTTCAGGGATTATCATATCCTGATTTCAAAGAAATGGGAACATTCTCTCCATCTCTTCGCGCAGGTCTCTTTCCATCTCACTTCCATTGACTATTTCGTACAGTCTTTCACAAAAGGGGCTCATCTGCTGCTGATTCTAGGGCTCTGACTCACTGGCCCCATTCCTGTTCCTGAAACTATTTCCTTTTTTCTTAGAACATTTTTCCAAAAATGTCATGGACTAGGCGCTGCGACTAAAAAAATTAGACCACACGGTAAGAAAAACAGATAAATATTTATACATTGACAAACCAAAGCAAATTTTACTCGGACATCATAATAAATTCATCTCCACAAGAAAGAAAAAAGCAGAAGAACGCGCTAATAGGCGATAAAAAAGGAGACCAAGTTCCACCTTAGGATACGGTTGTACTGCTAGCAGAAAGAAATCACAAAAATTAAACACAGTTAAAGAACATCGAAGAAAATGTAACATAGAGGGATGGATATATGCAATGCTTTTCGGAACGGAGAGTAGACATTGAAATCCGCACCAGCTCTGAGCTCGACGGAAGGGGAAATTGGAGAGGGAGCACGGCCATGACTGTGAAACAAGCAGGCTGGGATGTCAGAGCTTCATTCTCTAAACTTCCCCCAGTCCCTTCTGTCGCCTTCCACCTCCAAGTCCCCCTCCTCTTGCACCTTCTTGAGACGTATAATCCCTTCAAACACCACCCCCCCCTCCTCCCCGGAGGTGCCCACCCTTCCACAGCCGCTATTTCTGGTCCTACCTCCTTTCTCGTGGTGGTCGTTTTCCCCGCTGCTGTTACTGATGCTGAGGCTCCCGGGCGCACAAGCGCCACATATAGAGACGGATGGAGGGAGAGAGAGAGAGCTCTTATCACCCTGGGACAGGGAGAACACAGCCCCTCTGCCCTTCGCCACTCAAACGAGGAAGACGACGACCGAAAGAAGAAACGATCACTCCCCCCCCCCCCCCCTTCATCTTATTTCTTTCACACTCATACCCAAAAATATATTTCTTTTACACCCTTCCTGAATGTAAGTCTCACACTCTTTATTTATCTTTGAATATATGTATACGGCCGAAATTATTTAACATCCGGAGCTGATGCAGCTGTGTTGCTTACTGACAAAAAATATATTACAAAATGATGACCCCGTGGATTTTTGAGTAATTTACGGGGATATGAATCTATAAAAGAAATCATTTCCTATGCGGAGGACCAAGGATGAAAGACCTCAGCGTGCCAAGATATATCCCCTGGGCCCACATGACACCCCTGTCGGCAGAGGCTCGGTGCGGCACGTCTCCCTAACAGTGAACCTTCTCGTCCAGAGACGTTAGCGTGTTCCCAACGATACATCCGCTAGGTTTATTCATAAAGAAATAAATTACCCGTCGCTCCATCTGAATGGCTTCATTAGAAAAGTACCCCTAAAATAGGCCCGTCTAGCCCAATAGATCTCATTGGTGGGCCCGCGCCGTCTCTCTCCTCTCTTAGGCTACATACACAATATATCAATGTTTAACGTGTAATATAAATTCTACTACAAAATTAGGGGTGCCTATATTAATAATATTCAGAGTAGGGAGCGTCCCCAACCTGAGGTGGCGGTCCATCCCTCGAGGTTTGTTCTGGTCGCCCCCCGGGGCAAGGCGGGAGAATCCCTTTCTCCTCAGCGTCAACGATCACTGGAGTAGATCGATCCAGGTATCCTCATCATCTTCCGTCTATCTTCATTCTAACATTGAAGTAGCTTGCGTCTATTTTGCCTGATCGATCCTTCTGTTTCCCTGCAAATGAATGCTTCTCACCCCAATTTTGAATTGCAAGCACGTCTACATTCCTCTCCCGCTGGATCCGCCAGTTTTTCTCCCGTCCTCGCACCTCCGTCCTACCGTGCGCATTTTTCTTCAACCTGATTAGGTGTTCGTCGGGGATTACATTTTCCTTCGTAAAACCGTGGTTGCTCCCCTTATTTTTTATACACAAAGCAATCAATTCTCAGCCATTTCTCGCATTTCTTTGGCTCTCTTATAATTTTTCTGGTCCTTGATCTCTGGTTGATGATTATCCATTGCTCTCACGGTTAATCTCCGATGTATTTCACATAAGATAGCTTAAAGAGTATCCCCTACGGCATTAGATCTCTTGGTTTTTCCTTAGTGTGGCGGGGCGTTGCCTCGAAGACAACCCCGGAAGAACAATCCCTTGAGAAATCAATGCCTGGCATAGAATCACCATTGGGGAATGGATAGAGGCAGGCACAGCATGTTTTTCCTATGTCCCCTTCATCAATGCAGTATCGACCCTACTATCGTTCCTCAGCCTTCTGCGTAGATAAATGTCATGCTATTTATTATTCCATTTATTATTTGCCGTTAGTTTTTTTTTCCCGAATATGCTCGATTCCTATGATGCGCCTCGAGGACTCTCTCTCTCTCTTCTCTCTCTCTCTCTCTCTCTCTCTCTCTTCCTCTCTCCAGATGTGCTGTCTGCTTTCCGCCGCCGGTTTTACTGAGCGAATATTCGAATAAACTATCTGGTCTCTTTCTTTCATACCCACAAAAATCCACTATAAATTATTATAAAAGAAGCAGCTTCGTGATCTTATTTGATGATGTGTCTTAGAGATGTTGGTCTGCGCCGTGGGTCCCGGCTGGTTCATAGTGTAACCGCATATATGGAGGACTAGAGGTCTTTTTTAGTACCATTAATTTTATAGGGTTCTAATAGCAAAATACCGCGCACCTCTATAGCTTCCCTTCGAGAGGTAGAGAGGAATTAGCGGCGGAGGTGGGCCCGCTTAGTCACCAGCCCAGATGACCCAACCTTTCCAATATTAGAGGGGGTTGGGCCGGGGGTTCGGTTCGGCGGTTAAGTGAGAGTAGGCACGAGAACACGTGGCAGAATTAGCGGATCTATGAAATCACACCAGGGGAACCAGCTCCCGTTCCAGGAGCCTAACGAGGTTATATTTATTGAATGGGTGCCACGTGAGTGTGAAAGGGTGAAAGAGTCATTTGGATAGCGAGGTTGTTGTAACAGAGATCGCCGCTGCCTCTATAGCGGCAAGAGGATTCTGTTTCGTCGAGTGTTGTCAGCGTGAGCTGTTGCAGTGGAGGGTTTAAAATGGGAGGTGACGGAGGGAGGGAGGATGATGTGTTCTACCGCGAGGTCGCAGAGAGGGAAGCCGAGATCCTCACGGTAGGCGAAAAGCATCCTCTGGGAGTCGGAGGAGCATTGGCGGCCTCTCTCTCTCCGGCAGCCTCTCCACGTTCGTTGGGAGGTCAATTTGCTCAACTTATCGTCCATCCAACAGATCTACTTGTCGGAATCGTCATCCATTTCTGCTGCCTGAAGGTGAGGGATTCCTGAGGTGTTCCTTGGTGCAGCTTTAGTGTTCATTGTTGCCGATGATCGATGAAGGAACGACCGTGCACTTTATTTTTTATTCGAATTAATCGTGTTGTTCAGTCGTCAATGGTTTCCAAATTCCTTTTCTGGACACCTGGTTGGTAATTGTGGATCTCAGATTAGCCATTAGTTTCCTCGTCTTCCTCTCGTCCTCCAGATCGCTCGCTTTGGCTGGGGAAGTGTGTCCTGGTGCTTCAGCGGCGGAAGCGAGAAATGTCGGCGACGGTGCTCGATGATGCCATCTCGATTTCGAACAACGCAGAGACTGGAGGTCCACATTACTCGCAGAAAACGAGCGCAACCACGGCCGAGCCGCCCTCGGCCGAGGTGGAATCCGCCAACTGCGATTGCTGCGGGCTCACGGAGGAGTGCACACCGGCGTACATCGAACATGTGAGGGAACGGTACGACGGGCGGTGGCTGTGCGGGCTCTGCGCCGAGGCCGTCAAGGAGGAGATCAGCCGTTCAGGTCAGCGGCTGATCGGCGCCGAAGAGGCACTCAAGCGCCACATCACATTTTGCCGGAGCTTCCGTTCCTCCCCGGCACCGATGGCCGCCGACGCCAACGACCACCTCATCACGGCCATGCGGCAACTCTTCCGCCGCGGTTTCGATTCTCCCCGAGCGGCCCGGTCCGCCTCCAACAGCCCTCGGCGGAGGATACCCGGGGACGAAGACTCTCCCCGGTCTCCCTTCCGCCCGGCTACCTATTTCTCCCCCCCCGGCAGGCTGAGCATGCAGAGCTAGCTGGCCGAACAAGAAAACCAGAGAAAGAACAAAATCAGCCGGTCGTGGTCAACGAGAAGGAGATAAGCGCGGCGAAGACGATCGGCAGGCAGACATTACAAGTGAAAAGCACCATTGGCTTTTCCTGAACAGGAAGAGCGCTGATGTGGCGGTGATGATCGGCACAGAGCGCATACAAATGGAAAGCACCGTCGACATCCTAAACAGGCTAGCGTTCTTAGACTCGACTGGGATCTTGTGGATGACATCACCAAACTGAGAGACAAAGAGCGAGTGAGTGAGTGTGTGTGTGTGTGTGTGAGAGAGAGAGAGAGAGAGAGCAAAGGCCAGGACAGCGGGGTCCTTAGACCTAAGTAGTACAGACTATAGATGGATGGAGGGAAGAGGCACTTATGAGCACCTTTATTCCTGGCTACGTTCATGCTAGACGGGTGCGATTCCATCCGATCATCCTGGTTCAGAGCCCGTAGAGGTGGCTCGCGAGTCTCGGCTCCGCGACGACCTCCAAAGGTATCTTCTTCGGGGTGGACAGCCCAAAGACCTCCTCCATGTTGAGGTCCTCCACCGCCGCCCCCTCCGGAAGCCTCCACCGGAATCCGTGGAGGAGATTCGCCAGGCTCGACTGGATCACCTTCAGCCCGAGCTGATACCCCGGGCACATCCTCCTCCCCGCCCCGAACGGCAGCAGCTCGAAGTCGTGCCCCTTCACGTCGACGCTCCTCCCCTCGAACCTCTCCGGCCGGAACTCCTCCGGCGAGTCCCACACCGCCGGGTCCCTCCCGATGGTCCACACGTTCACCAGCACCTCCGTCCCCGCCGGCACGTGGTACCCCGCCACCGTCGTGTCCTCCCGGCTGTACCGCGGCACCAGCATGGGCGCCACCGGGTGGAGCCGCATCGTCTCCTTGACTACGGTCTCGATAAAGGGCAGGTTCGGGATGTCCTTCTCCTCCACCCACCGCTCCCTCCCCACCACCCGGTCGAGTTCCTCCCACGCCTTCTCGAAGATCTCCGGCCTCCGGAGAATCTCCGCCATCGCCCACTCCACCGTCACCGCCGAGCTCTCCGTCCCCCCCGCGATCATGTCCTGCAGACCAAAAATAAAATTTTGCTCAATCGAGAGGTTGGGAGATGGCGTAACAGAGTTGGGGAGTAGGGCCGGGGGCGCACCTGGATGAAGCCCTTGACGCCGTCTCTGGTGAGCTTGACGCTGAGGTTCGGGTCGTCGGCGAGCTGAAGCAGCACGTCGACCATGTCGGCAGGGACGAACTCCGGCCCCGCCCGCCCCCGGCGGTCCTCGTGCTCTTCGAGGACGCGGTCCAGGAAGGCGTCGAATTTCACGCTCAGAGCCTTCATCCTCCTCACGTAGCCCTGAAGGTCGAGGAAGTCCAGCCAGGGGATCATGTCGCCGATATTGAGCACCCCGTTGAGGAGGAAGAGCTCGTCCAGCATCTTCTTAAACTCCTCCGGCGACACAACGTCCGTCGCCGCCTCCTCCCCGGTGTATGTCCTCCCCAGCACCATCCTGCTGATCACGCTCAGGCTCAGCGAGGTCAGGTGGTCCTTCAGCACCACGGCGCCACCGCCGCCTCCGGCGAGCCGGGCCAGCATCAACCGAATCTCCTCCTCCCTGATGTACTCGTATGAGTCGAGGCGCTTGGCGGAGAAGAGCTCCGTGAGGCACATCTTCCTCGCCTGCCGCCAGTACGGCCCGTAAGGGGACCAGGTGATGTCCGAGTAGTTGTAGGTCGTGTACTTGCCCGCCGCCGTCCGCGGCCGCGACGCGAAGACGAGGTCCTGCTTCTTCAAGAACTCCCTCGCCATCTCCACAGACGACCCCACCACCACCCGCTGCGATCCCAGGTAGAGCTGCATGATGGGACCGTAATTCCGGGAGAGCTCGTGGATGGACCTGTGCGGCAGCTCCCCGATGAGGTGCAGGCTGCCGACGATGGGCCACGGCCGGGGGCCCGGCGGCGGAGGAGGCCGCTTCTTCCGGTGGGACGCCAAGAGGACCCTCAAGATGGCGGCGGAGGCCAGAAGCGCCGCCGCGTAGAGGGCCCAGGTGGGGAGAGTGCCTCCGTCCATTGGCGCCGCGGGGAAGTCGGAATAGGGAGCTGGTAGCGTCGCTGGTGGTGGTGGTGGTGGTGGGGGTGTGTGGCGAGGGGTGCAATTTATGGAGGGGGCTCGGCAGGAGGGTTGGACATGAAGTCACGATTGACAGGGACGATGACGGAGGTCTAGAGTGAGAGAGAGGGATGGGAAATTGGGGAAATCGAGCAGAAGGGGATGAGATCTTTCCCTTCGGGGGCGTTCAAGGAGACGACCCATCAACCCTTCACACGGACTCTTATGAGAGAGAGAGAGAGAGAGAGAGATTAAAGAAAAAGGAGAAACCACCATGGAGATTCCCGGCTGCGGGAAGCCAAGAGAAGACCATTGACTTCGACAACTTCATACACAAACATCAGAGGAAATTGCACCACCTTTACTGAGATTTTTCCACTTTATTTACGTTGGAAATGTCTGACGAATATTATTCTTTATTTTTGCAGGCACAACCGGAAGCCTTTTATTACTATTTCCCTTCAAAACAGACATGATTGACCATTTATAAAGAATGGATGACAAACATATTATATGAATTTAGTCCGTCAACCACCGAGACAAGGAGCACGCTACCATAAAAATCTATTCAATGTTATTACCTCGATTTCAATTGGTTGAATGGGCCTACAAATCCATGACCCATAGGCCCATTTGTGCACCTTTTAGAGAGAGAAGGATTGGAGGTGGAAAGCTTTCGCTGTTTTCCAAAAAAGTCTAGAAAGAGAATTATTATGCTCATCTCTCTCTCTCTCTCTCTCTCTCTCTCTCTCTCTCTCTCTCTTTCTATCTATTTATCTATTGCTCTATCGCTCTATCTCTCTATCTTACATATATAAACTCTTGACGTGCTCTCAATTTTTTTGTTGAGGAAAACTCATGATAATCATGCAACCGGTTAATATGAAACACTCGGAACTGGAAAATGGGATTATGATGAATATTAGAGGGAGACGAAGGAGAATTATGCATCATCTTCCTCTAATACACCCACTGTCTTTGATAACGAAAGACATGAACTGAACTTGGGATGAAGCCTCTGGAGGTGGAGTTAGGGACAGTGAGATCTAATGCTCTGACACCATGTTACAACCAAAAACAAGGAGATACAGGGATGGAGTTTTCTCTTTCTTGATGGAGAGAGGGAGGAGTGGCAGATAAGTCATCCACATTACAACTCACTAGGCCTCATGAAAAAAAATTGATATATATATATATATCAAATGCAAGGTTATATCTAAAAGTTGGTATCTTTCAAGGGTTTTCTATAAATGTGTGTAGAAGCATAAACCCTGCAAGTGGGTTCCTAGAAGTGTTATTTGTACATTCGTTTTCTTTTCCGTTGACGCAGCTCCCTTTCTTGCATACACATTAATAAGTCTTTATTATCATGAGTTAATAATTAGTAAATAACATAGTTTTAGCCTTATGATAAATAAACTTATATTTGTGTTAAAGTGTGAAAGGTAGTTTTCAATTGATTAATGTGAATTTTTGACTAATTATGTGATTTTCTATAAATTTATATGACTTTTATAGTTTTATTTTTGAGATAAATAAATAAAAATAAATTAAAATTAAAGTATAGCAAAATGAAGAATACCCTCCAACCAATCAGGCTCGCAAGCAGGTCAAAAGCATAGTCAAGGAGGAGCCGAAAGTAGGGGCTCAAGCAGCTAGGACTAATGGGGGCACATGTGCGCCACTCCCTTTCCACGTCACTAGTGGCTAGTCAACTGTGGGGCAAGGAGTCGTCGTACACACGGGAGAAAGGGACTTACTTGTAAATATAATATTACTATATATTCGCCCAAAACTTTGACGCACAAGTAATGTGAGACTAAACCCACGTCACACATTTCCTAAAAAGCTTCAATTATTTTAATACTTATAATACCCCTTATTTATAATAGAGATATATCATGATGATGTCATTTGATAAGGGCATTAGAGTGCTTATTTTAGTCTCTCTCATATAGGTGGACAATCGATACAAGTTCAAATCCTCTCAGAGCCAAAACTCATATTTTTTATCTAATTATCGTGACTTTCCTGTAGATCACCAATGAAGGATTAAGTTACCAAAATTGTTGGATCATCAACAAAAATCTCATCAATATGATTCATGGAACATTGTTACTAAATTGCTAAACGATTCGTGATAAAAAGATCATAAATCTATTAAGTAAAGCATCTCTAATTGATCAACGAACAAGCTATCATCAAGAAGAAGATGATCCGTCGAGATACGAGTTGCCACCTCCTGTTAGCATACCAGATGTGATGAAGAGCCTCCTCTTATTGTGCGGACCTGAGGATGAAGTTCCTTAATATGCACCCCACCTCTATCCAACTTCTTTCTGTCAAGTGACAACCGCTAGAGAGTCGCAAAGTCGTTGTTTTTTTACTCTGCCGAGTGATAATTGTCAGAGACGATTTGACGACCTATTTCATTGATCTCTAGACTTTACAAGAAGATCTATAAATTATTCATGTCATCCTTGTCCAAAGAGAGCCTTCGAGGCCATGGACACTACATGACAATTTTCTCAAACACTCAAGATTCTAGTGCATCATCAATGCATTGCCGTCGTGATGTCGAAACTCTATTTTCCTATTTTTTTTTATTTTTCTCTTAAAGTACACACAAAATTAATTCTTATTTTATTTCTTTCTTACTAATTTTTTTTTTTAAAAAAGGAACGAAGAGAAGCAAGGCAAGGACTAGAGCATACTGAAGGAGGGTAATAATTATTAAAAAAAAATTTCAAATTTCTTTTTTTATGTATGGTAGAAGATTCTTGCATCTAAGGCTAGAAAATTCTTTCATTATTTCATTTAAAACTAAAAAGTCGAAAGAAAAATTAATTTTGATGAATCCTGAAAGAAGTATAGGTCAAATTGAGAACAATTCTATGGCCATGAAAAATCATTATATCCTTGATTCATTTCAAAAAGCATTCAATATTAGAGTCTTATCAGCACCCACTATTAAATTCGAAATAAATTCAGAAATTTTTCAAATGCTCTCAAATTTTCATGGATTACTTTTAGAAGAACCTCATCAGCACTTAGAAAATTTTCATATGATTTGTGATTTAGTTAATCTGCCTCAAGTTATACTAAAAATTATTAAGATGAAGTTATTTCCTTACACACTTAGGGACAAAGCTAGTCATTGACTATCCACATTAGATAGAGAATTAACTAACTAGAAAGATATATAACATGCCTTTTTTTGAAAATTTTATCTCTTAGGAAAAACTCAAAATATGAGAAAATATATATAGAGTTTTTCTCAAAGATTAGGAAAAACTTTGTATGAAATATGGGTAAATTTTAAATATTTACTTAGAAAATATCATCATCATGCTATACTCAAGTGGCAACTCAATAAATTTTTTTATGATGAATTATTAGAATAATGTAGAAACATAGTTGATTCTATATATGGAGGAGCTTTTATGGAGAAAACTCTTGATGAGATTTACAGTCTTTATGAGAATTTAAGTGAAATTTTAAGATCAAGTCTCTTTTGAATTATATGACAAGGATAAAAAGAGAGGAAATTATGAATTGCATCCTGATGATGATTCTAATTTAAGAAATGAGGTTAATCAAATTAATTAAAGATTAGAAAAACTTGATTTACTTATTGAGAATATTAGAAAGCCTCACAACCTTCAATTTAATGCATATAATGCTTGTCCTATGTATAGTGAAAATGATCATTTCGAATTTTAATATTATAATTTTGACCATCATTTCATCTTAGGTAAGAACAAGTGCAAGTACTCCATGATTTTAGTAAAAATAGGAAATATTTTTCTATTTTTTTATAATTCTAATTAGGGGAATAATTTTTCGTGAAAAAACCAAAATAATATTCAAAATTCAAAAGCATTTAGATCCAATTCAAAGTTTGAATTTCGTTTAAAATAAGAACACAAATTTTAGAAAAATCAACCCTTTTAAATCCAACCTGATGCTATGGAAATGATGTAGCAAATGAGCCAAATGATGCAACAAACAATGAATCAAATGATGTTATACCAAAAATAAATTATAGAGGCTTTTGAGAATAGGAGAGAAGAGGGACAACCACCTAGTGAGCTCATAGAAAATTCAGAAAATTATCCAACAATAGGATTTCAACAAGGAGAGTCTAACTAGATAAATTTAAGAAAAAACCTACAAAATAAAAATGTTAGGACAATGAATACATTAAGTGAGAATATTTTACCTGATTTTTACTTCAAATTATTAGAAGAAATTGATGAGCCATTAGAAATAAATGAGAATATTAAGGCTAAAAATATAGTAACAGAAAATTTGAATAAAATTATTTATTGCTCATAATTAATGAATGAATATAGTGAGGATGATTAGGAGAAAGAGGCCTTAGATGAAAAACAATAGTTGATTATGGAAGAATCATTTAAATTTTAGTAGAAAGGAGTAAGGATAAAAATGAAGAAAAATATATTTTAGGTGAGGAAAAATCAATTGATTTGAGTGATGTAAGAGACGAAATTAATAAATATAATCATAATTTTACAACCATGGATGTTGATAGTGAGGATGATAATATATATCATATACTGAAATTAGAAGATAGCTCTTGGGAAGATGAAGAATTTGATGAGTTGAGAAATGAAAAGCTAAAAAAAGAGTTAATTCAATTAATGGGGAGAAACAAAAATAATGAATATGAATATAGAGATAATTTTGGAGATTTTTTTTTGAATTTTACCAAATTTATTAGATTTGAGATTAAAGAAGACAATCATTCCATCCTTCAAAACTCACAGCCCATTATAATTATTTCTAAGCTTGAAATATTTCACTCCTCGCAAATTGAACAAATATATATGGAAGATAAAATGGAGTAGGGGAAGATTATGCAGATAAAAGAACACATTAAGAAATGAGTGAGTGGAAGAATTAGATATATCAATTTAGATGAAAAAATTCTAAATTAGGTAAGAGCTAATTTAAAAATTATATGACTTGATCACATTTTATGGTCTATTAATAGAAAGTATTTATTAATGAATTAGAGATTTACAAAACAAGATAGAAATGAAGAAAGATTCTTTTCAAAATGAAAATATTATTTTTGGAAAAAAATTGTTAATTTTTATTTTGTTTTGGCTGAAAGTATGTCAAGGTATACATATGAAGTATATGAATTTATACTAAATCTGAAAAAAAATATCATGAAACTTACCTAGGGATACAAATATATTTTGATGGTCATAGATCATCTTATATGATCTAAGAGCTGTCCAACTGAAGACATTAAATTCAGCATTACATGGAAGGCAACTCATGGTTTTTATTTCATTCTGTTTAAATTTTTTTTTAAGCTCTATTTTTCTTACAATTTTGTAATACTTATTTCTGTATTTGTTTTTTTTTTTTTTGAAAAGTGGAAGAAGAGGAGTGTAAGATGAAGTGGAAATTAAAAATGAGGTTGAGGTGATGTCTTTCTGACCTTTATCATTTATGACAACATTTTTAGTGCTTAACTTTGCATATATGCATGCTTCACTTGAAACTTACATTTTTTGTATATTCTGTTTCAATTTTTCTATGTCACTAAGGACAATGTCATTTTTAAGTTGAGGGGTGAAGTATTAATTATTAATTTATATTGTAGGACAATTAAGAACATGTGTTTGCATTTTATTTTATTTTCATGCTCACTTAGAACAGCAACTAAAAAAAAAAAAAGAAGAAAAAATTCAGAAAAACTACAACATCTATTTTCTGGTTTTCTATCAGGAATAATAGATTGTCAAACATAGTAAACAAAAAACAGCCCAAAATTTGAAATTCTAAAGACCCTTTCTCAAATTTCAATCCCCTAGACATATATTACTAAAATTCAAAATTACCGCTATAAAGAGGATAATTTTGATTTATTTTTAAAAAATTTATTATTGCTAAAAATAGAACTGAAAATAGAAAATAGAACTGTCAGAACTATCTAATTTATAAATTTTTTACATCATATTACATATATGAAAAATTAAATTAATTAGATTAATTGATATCAAAAGATACTAGGAAGATTATTATTGAGTCGAAAGAATGATCTAGTAGTATGAAATGTTAGAATACTCCTTAGATACATGACAGATAATATGGATTTGATTTTGTAGATTTTCACTTCATGATCTTGATAGATAGTATTTACTTGATGTGAAAATTTGATTGATCATTTGAGTTTAATAGAGATTTTTACACTATAATCTATAGGACTTGTGAGGAAAAATCACTTATTTTGAAAAGAAAAAAAAAGTAATATAAAAAATCTAGAAACAAAAAGTACACATGGAAGGTGTGAGACATCTTTCTCATTATCAAAAATAGTGTATAGAAAAACACTTGTTACAAAATAAGTGGATAAAGTGAAAGCCCTGAAAATGAAGAGTACATATAGAGGGTGTGAGACGTCATTCTTATTGTTGAAATTTGTCTACAGGAAAAACTATTTATCTATTATATATATATATATATAGGAAGAAATATAATGCAAACTTTAAAAAATCAAGTCATAGAAAAAGAAAAATATAGGATCAATATTATTCTTGGATAAGTATTGATAATTGAAACATAATAGAGCTATAATGGAGCTATAACATATTAAAATTCATTATATATTATTTACACTCATTAAGTTTTGATTATAGGCTTTTAGGGCTATGAGAAAGGGAGAGAGAGAGAGAGAGAGAGGCAGCACCAAAAGAGTTTAAGTTTCCAATACATATGCCACAAATCAAGTGCTTAGCCTAAATCTTCTATGGATTGGGTCAAGCTCATATGACTCATTTAAAATTCGATTTTAATTTTTTTAACTTATTATTTCAATTATGATGATTCTAATCATTGACTGTTGATGAGTTAATCATGAGACCAAGTGGCTACTATTAGGCTTCAAGGAATGAAATTAGTATGCCCATCCAGGATAATTTTGGTATATTGTCATATTAAAAGAGTAATTAGAACTTTGCTATTGGATGTGGGAAGAGAGGTGTTGGCTTTTGGGAGACCTATAATGTTGATAATGAGAAAAATAGATAACTAGTAAAATAGTAACTTCACATTGACAAAATTATGAACATTATTTCATAATACGATTGGAATAAGATTTTACCAATTACATAACATGGTAAACTTAAATGGAAATCAACTGGTCGTGGTCAATGGGAAAGACACGGTAGACCACGCATGTAAAAGGAAATCACCGTCGACATACTACACAGGCTAGTAGACTCGATTAGGACCCTTTCGGTAACACCGACGCGGCGAGAGGGGACCCGCACATCTGAGCACCTTTAATTCCATGGATCCACGCATCCCATACACCTGTCATTCCATCCGAATATCTTGGTTCAGAGACTGTACACCTGGCTCGCGAGTCTCAACTCCGCGACGACTTCCAGGGGTATCTTCTTGGGGGTGGTCAGACCGAAGAGCTCCTCCATGTTGAGATCCTCTGGCGCTGCCCCCTCCGGAAGCCTCCACCGGAATCCGTGGAGGAGATTCGCCAGGCTCGACTGCACCATCTTCAGCCCGAGCTGATACCCCGGGCACATCCTCCTCCCCGCCCCGAACGGCAGCAGCTCGAAGTCGTGCCCCTTCACGTCGACGCTCCTCCCCTCGAACCTCTCCGGCCGGAACTCCTCCGGCGAGTCCCACACCGCCGGGTCCCTCCCGATGGTCCACACGTTCACCAGCACCTCCGTCCCCGCCGGCACGTGGTACCCCGCCACCGTCGTATCCTCCCGGCTGTACCGGGGGATCAGCATGGGAACCACCGGGTGGAGCCGCATCGTCTCCTTGACTATGGACTCGATGAAGGGCAGGTTCGGGATGTCCTTCTCCTCCACACACCGCTCCCTCCCCACCACCCGGTCGAGTTCCTCCCACGCCTTCTCGAAGATCTCCGGCCTCCGGAGAATCTCCGCCATCGCCCACTCCACTGTCACTGCCGAGGTCTCTGTCCCCCCTGCGATCATGTCCTGCAGACCAAAAATATATTTTTTGCTCAATCGAGAGGTGGGAGATGGCGTAACAGAGTTGGGGAGTAGGGCCGGGGGCGCACCTGGGTGAAGCCCTTGACGCCGTCTCTGGTGAGCTTGACGCTGAGGTTCGGGTCGTCGGCGAGCTGCAGCAGCACGTCGACCATGTCGGCAGGGACGAACTCCGGCCCCGCCCGCCCCCGGCGGTCCTCGTGCTCTTCGAGGACGCGGTCCAGGAAGGCGTCGAATTTCACGCTCAGAGCCTTCATCCTCCTCACGTAGCCCTGCAGGTCGAGGAAGTCCAGCCAGGGGATCATGTCGCCGATATTGAGCACCCCGTTGAGGAGGAAGAGCTCGTCCAGCATCTTCTTAAACTCCTCCGGCGACACCACGTCCATCGCCGCCTCCTCCCCGATGTACGTCTTCCCCAGCGTCATCCGGCTGATCACGCTCAGGCTCAGCAAGTTCAGGTGGTCCTTCAGCAACACAGCGGCGCCGCCGGTGGTGGCGCCGGCGAGCCGGGCCAGCATCCGCTGCGTTTCCTCCAGCCTGATGTATTCGTAGGAGTCGAGCCGCTTGGCAGAGAAGAGCTCAGTGAGGCACAACTTCCTCGCCTGCCGCCAGTACGGCCCGTACGGGGCCCAAGCGATGTCCGAGTAGTTGTAGGTCGTGTACTTGCCCGCCGCCGTCCGCGGCCGCGACGCGAAGACGAGGTCCTGCTTCTTCAAGAACTCCCTCGCCATCTCCACAGACGACCCCACCACCACCCGCTGCGATCCCAGGTAGAGCTGCATGATGGGACCGTACTTCCGGGAGAGCTCGTGGATGGACCTGTGCGGCAGCTCCCCGATGAGGTGCAGGCTGCCGACGATGGGCCACGGCCGGGGGCCCGGCGGCGGAGGAGGCCGCTCCTTCCGGTGGGACGCCAAGAGGACCCTCAAGATGGCGGCGGAGGCCAGAAGCGCCGCCGCGTAGAGGGCCCAGGTGGGGAGAGCGCCTCCGTCCATGGGCGCCGCGGGGAAGTCGGAATAGGGAGCTGGTAGCGTCGCTGGTGGTGGTGGTGGTGGTGGGGGTGTGTGGTGAGGGGTACAATTTATGGAGGAGGTGGCTCGGTGGGAGGGTCGGACATGAGCTCGCCTGTGGTCTGGAGAGAGAGAGAGAGATTGGCAAGTTGTGCAGAAGGGATAAGATAGCTTACTTCGGGCGTATCTAAGGAAACCCTTAGATGCGCCCAAAGGAAGTGTTATTTGCATGTTCATTTCTTTCCTATGTATATCCCCTTTTCACATGCACATTGAGAAGTTTTCATTATCATGAATTAATAATTAGTAAATAATATAGTTTTAGTCTTAACTCATGATAATTAGATTTATATTTATATTAAAGTGTGAAAAGTGGTTTTTAGTTGATTAACCTGAATTTTTAGCTAATTATGTGATTTTCTATGAATTTCTATGATTTTTATAGTCTTATTTTTTAGATAAATAAAGAAAAAGAAATTAAAATTAAAATATAGTAAAATAGAGGATACTCGCTGGCGAGCCGAGCACACAAGTGAGTCAGAAGCACAGTCAGGAAGGAGCCGCTAGTAGGGGCTCAAGCGGCTAGGATCGATGGGGGCATGTGTGTGCCACTTCCCTTCCACGTCACTCGTGGTCAGCCAATTGTAGGGCAAGGAATGATCATACATGTGGGAGAAAGATACTTATTTAATACCTACAATACCCCTTATTTATAATAGAAATATACCATAATGACGTCATTTGATAAAGGCATTAGAGTACTTATTTCAATCTCTCTCATGTATGCAATGTGGATTCGAATCCTCCTAAAGCCAAAACTCATATTTTTTATCTGATTATCACAAATTTCCTACAGATTGTTGTTGAAGGATTAAGCCACCATAATTACTAGATCATCGGCGAAAATTTCGTCAACACAATTCGCGGAGCACTATTACTAAAATTATTGAATGATTCGTGATAAAAAAATCATGAATCCATCGAATAAAATATCTTCAATTGATCGACGAATAAGTCATCGTCGGGAAGAGGATGATCTGCTGGGAGACGAGTTGCCACCTCTGAAGAGCGTATGAGATGCGATGAAGAGCCTCCTCTTGCTGTGCGGACCTGAGGATGAAGCTCCCTAACATGTGCCCCACCTCCATCCAGCTCCTCTTTATCGGGTGATAGCCGCTGGAGAGTTGCAAAGTCATTATTTTTTCACTCTGCTGGGTGACAACTACCAGAGACAATTTAACAACCCATTTTATTGATCTCTAGACTTCGTAAGGAGATCTAGAGATTGCCTACATCATCTTTGTCCAAGGAGAGCCATCAAGGCCGCGGACACTACACAATAATCTTACCGAACACTCAAGATTTCAATGCATCGTTGACGTAACTTAGTCGTTGTATAGTAAATCACACAAATTTAAAATTTATAAAACTAGAAAATATAAATTTTTAGATATTTAGAAGTATTTTTGAACAAATATATTAATTATAATTCAATAAAACTTCCAAAAATAGCGGTACTTTTTCCAAGTCGATCACAAAGATGTAATATAATATCTGATAATTATTCAGAATTTTCCTCAAAGAATACTAATTTCTATGAATTTTCTACTAGGAAATAAAAAGGAAATATATTTAAAATTCACAAAAAAGGGAAATAAGGGTGTGGACATCAAGATGACATCAGGTCCCAACGAACGTGAATCGGACAGAAATAGAGTTCCACTCGGCGATTCTTATGTAAGCGATTACAGACGATTTAATTGATCAAATTAAGATCTATAAAAGCCGAAAGAAACGTAATTGAATGAAGTATATCTTGGTAAATTTAAATCACACAAATTATCACTAAATGAAGTGGAAAGTAAGTTGAAAGCAGAAAAATAAAGTTCCAGCATCGTGGCGGCAATGTGTCGTGATGCACCGGAATCCTGAGCGTTCATGAGAATTGTCATGTAGTGTCCATGGCCTTGAAGGCTCTCCTTAGACAAAGATGATGTGCGCAATCTCTAGATCTCCTTGCAAAGTCTAGAGATCAATGAAATGGGTCATCGAATCGTCTCCGACAGCTGTCACCTAGCGGAACAAAAAAATGACGACTTTGCAGCTCTCTAGCGGTTGTCACTCGATGGAGAGGAGTTGGATGGAGGTGCGGCACGTGTTAGGGAGCTTCATCCTCAGGTCCGCGCAGCAAGAGGAGGCTCTTCATCACATCTGGTACACTCTCATGAGGTGGTGACTCGTCTCCTAGTAGATCATCCTCTTTTCGATGACAACTTATTCGTCGATCAATCGGAGATACTTTATTTGATGAATTCGCAATCCTTTTATTGCAAATCTTTCAGCAACTTTAGTAACAATGCTCCACAAATCGCATTGACGAGATTTCCGCCGATGATCCAACGATTATGGTAGCTTAATCCTTCACCAATGATCTACAAGAAAGTCATGATAATCAGATAAAAAATATAAATTTTGGCTCTAGAAGGATTCGAACCCGCACCAGTTGCCCGCTCTTTCTAAGGAAGGTGTGATGCAGGTTAAGTCCCACATCGCTCGTGCAGCGAAGTGTCTGATGAATATAGTAATATTATATTTCTGATCAGGTCCCTTTCTCACACTTGTACGACCACTCATTGCCCCACAACGAGCTGGCCACTAGTGACGTAGAAGGAGGGTGGCACACACATGCCCCTATCAGTCCAAGCCACTCGAGCCCCTACTCACAGCTACTCCTTGATTGCACTTCTGACCCGCTTGTGAGCCCGGCTTGCCAACAGGTCCCCCCCATTTTGTCTTTTTTTTATTTTAATTTCTTTTTCTTCATTTATCTCAAAAGTAAGACTGTAAAAATCATATAAATTCGTATAAAATCACATAATTACCTATAAATTCACGTTAATCAACTGAAAACCACTTTTTATACTTTAACACACATATAAGTCTATTTATCATGAGTTAAGACTAAAACTATATTATTTACTAATTATTAACTCATGATAATGAAGACTTATCAATCGCCGACATATCGCTGCCGCGACGCCGGAACTCTGTTTTCTCACTTTCAACATAATTTTCACTTCATTTAGTGATAATTTGTGTGATTTAAATTTACCAAGATATACTTCATTCAATTACAATTCTTCTGGCTTTTACAAACCTTAATTTGATCAATTAAATCATCTATAATCGCTTACGTAAGAATCATCGGGTGAAACTTTATTTCTGTCTGATTCGTGTTCATCGGGCAATGACATTATCTTGATGTCCGCACCCTTATTTCTCTTTGTCATGAATTTTAAATATATTTTATTTTTATTTCTTAGTGTAAAATTTATAGAAAATAGTATTTCTTGAGGAAAATTCTAAATAATTACCTGATATTATATTACATCTTGTGGTCAATTTGGAAAATTATCACTATTTTTTAAAGTTGTATTGAATTATAATTGATATATTTGTTTAGAAATTCTTTTAAATAACCAAAACTTCATATTTTTTAGTTTTTAAATTTTAAATTTACGTGATTTACTATACAATGACTAAGTCACATCAAATTATGGCACCGTTGCCGAGGATGTATTACATAATATCTAGTATTTTTCTATTTTTCTCTTAGAGTACACAAAAAAAATTAACTCTTATTTTAATTCCTTCTTGTTGAATTTTTTTTTTTTAAAGGAACGAAGAGAAGCAAGGCAAAGACTAGAGCATATTGAAGGAAGGTAACAATTACTAAACTTTTCCTTGATTTTATTAATTTTTTATGCATGGTAGAAGATCCTTACATCTAAGGCTAGAAAATCCTTTCATTATTTCATTCAAAACTAAACTCCGAAAGGAAAATTAATTTTGATGAATCTTGAAGGAAGTATAGGTCAAACTGAGAACAATCCTATGGCTATGAAAAATTATTATATCCCTGATTCATTTCAAAGAGCATCCAAGATTAAAGTTCTATTAGCACCCACTATTAAATTAGAAATAAATTCAAGAATTTTTCAAATGCTCCCTAATTTTCATGGATTATATTTAGAAGAACCTCATCAGCACTTAGAAAATTTTCATATGATCTGTGATTTAGTTAATCTCCCTCAAGTTACACCGAAAATTATTAAGATAATTTTTTTTCCTTATACACTTAGGGACAAAGCTAGTCATTGGCTATCTACATTAGATAGAGAATTAACTAACTAGAAATACATAGAATAGGCCTTTCTTCAAAAAAATTATCCATTAGGAAAAACTCAAAATATGAGAAAATATATATGGAGTTTTTCTCGAAGACCAGGAAAAACTTTGTATGAGACATGGGAAAAATTTAAAGATTTACTTAGAAAATGTCCTCATCATGCTATACCCAAGTGGTAGCTCAATAGGTTTTTTTATGATGAATTATGAGAACAACATAGAAACATGGTTGATTTTATATGTGGAGGAGCTTTTATTGAGAAAACTCTTGATGAAATTTACAATCTTTATGAGAATTTAAGTAAAATTTTTAGAGATCAAGCATTGATGTGACTTAGTCGTTGTATAATAAATCACGTAAATTAAAATTTATAAAACTAAAAAATACAAATTTTCAGATATTTAGAAGTATTTCTAAACAAATATATCAATTAAAAATGAGGTTGAGGTGATGTCTTTCTGAGCTTTATCATTTATGACAATATTTTTAATGCTTAACTTTGTATATATGCATGCTTCACTTGAAAATTACATTTTCTGTATATTATGTTTCGATTTTTCTATGTCTCTGAGGACAATGTCATTTTTAAGTTGGGGGGTAAAGTATTAATTATTAATTTATGTTGTAGGACGATTAAGAACATGTGTTTGCATTTTATTTTATTTTCATGCTCACTTAGAACAGCAACTAAAAAAATAAAAATAAAATAAAATTCGGAAAAACTACATCTATTTTCTGGTTTTCTATTAGGAACAACAGATTGTCAAAAAAAAGCAAACAAAAAACAGCCTGAAATTTAAAATTCTAGAGACCCTTTCTCACATTTCAATCCCCTAGACATATATTACTGAAATTCGAAATTACAACTATAAAGAGGATAGTTTTGATTTATTTTTGACAAATTTATTATTATTAAAAATAGAATTGAAAATAGAAAATAGAAAATAGAACTATCAGAACTATCTAATTTATAAATTTCTTAGATTATATTACATGCATAAAAAATTAAATCAATTAGATTAATTGATACCAAAAGATACTAGGAAGATTATTATTGAGTCGAAAGAATGATCTAGTAGCATGAAATGTTGGAATACTCCTTGGATACATGATAGATGACATAGATTTAATTTTATAGATTTTCACTTCATGATCTTAATGGATATTATTTATTTGATGTGAAATTTTGATTGATCATTTGAGTTTAATAGAGAT